ATGAACAGGTTCAGTGGAACATCTAAACCTTGTATGATGTGTGGCATGTCACCAAAATGGAATTCAGCATTTTGTGACAGTTGCTATGTTCTATATGAGGACATTGGGTTAAAATGTGTTGGAAGTCTAATTGCCCAGAGAAGCCAAAGGTACAACACAGTGCTCCACAGCAGTATGCAAAGAAGAGCCAAGCAAGGAACATTGCCAAAGAAGCTTCCAAATTTCCACCCATGGCGCACAAGCAAGTCAGTAAAAACCAATAGGTAATCACAATGGTGCAACTTGTAGCCCCAGTCAGACAGTATAATTTGGTCAATTTGACACACCACAGGGAAACCGTCGGAAGGACGGTTCACTAAGGGTAAATCCCAAAAGAAACAAACAATATGTATTATATGCCAATGTCTGCACTATATCATTGATAACAGCATTCCTTTGTGCATCTAACAGTAGAAACTGGCACAGCATGGTGCTGTCCACACAAGGTTAGCTAACTGCTTATAATGGATTTAACATCTTGTGCATTTGCGTCATCCAACTAAATGCCAATACAGCTTCTTGGAATAGACAACGAAAAATGCTTACATTATTGAAATAGATGAATCACCGGCATGCACAGGTCCATTCGGTAACAAATCTATTGGTTCCAACACCAAAAATTCCAGACTGCAACACTGATCTTATGCATTTTGGTGACAACTGAAAAAAACTGATCCAGCAGATTTATGTTAGATGATGCTCATTTCCAACACCCAAGAAGATTGTTATCAATGTGCTACCTAGGAGGCTAGGAATACTGCAGTGAGTAACTTACCTCCTGACTCCCCAAAGCCTGTCCACCATCTACAAGGCATGAATCGGATACAAGATGGAACACTCCCCATTTGCCTGGATGAGTGCAGCTCCAACAACATTTAGGAAGCTTGACACCATCCGGGATAAAGCAGCCCACTTGATTGGCACCACATCCACTAGCATCTACTCCCTCCATGACTGACGCTCAGGAGCAGCAATGTATTTCAAAAATTCAACAAAGATCCTTAGACAACATGTTCCAAACCTCTAGAGCAAGGGCAGCAGATACTTACCTTATGTATTTACACTTTCAAAGGACTTTTCAAATTAGTTGTCTGTGATGCTGAAAGTTTAAATTGCAGACTATGGCGAATGTGATTGTTAAAAGAAAAGTGTTGTTTGAATTGCACCAACTCTCTCGCACTACAACAGACTGGTCAAATTTAAAGTATACATAATATTTCACAAGGAGCTCTGATCAGAATCTCACGTCAGAAATATGGAGCCCTTTCTTAATGTATAAAATAAAGGAGCAGAGTGATGATCTGAGTATAATTGACACAGCTTCAAAATCCTGCTCAATATATCAATATTTATCTTGGTATGTTTTTATTAGGAAAAGGAATCCCATTCCTTAAAGGGTAAAGCAGACATGTGTTATAACAAATTATTATTTGATTTCCAAACTAGATAGGTACCTGCCTTTAAGACAGTTACATGTGATATTGTGGTAATAAGGAACCAAATTCACTTTCAGTCACTATCTCTATGTCACAGGATCAAAACACAGTTAGTTTTGTGTTTGTGACACGAAATAACATCAGTAAGCACAGCACTCAGACAATGAATGGAAGTCAGTATTATTGTAGCCATTTAAATCATCAGTGTCATTAATAAACTTCAAGATATGTGACTCAACAAGAGCCTGACTTTTTGTCTCATATGTCATGTGGACTAAAACATAGGAAACCATAAACTTTCACAACCTTAGACTTGGATTTGAAATCTTGGTCCTTAGATAATCTTTTGCTCAGACTGACATACTGGAGGTGAAAATGATATTTTCAAGTTTGTCAGCTTTTGCTGAAAGAAGGATTCCATGGATGATACAGAATAACTTGGAAAATATTTCATAGTTTCAGTATCTTACCGGGAAGAGTAACTATGCTACAAGAGATTGTAGGAAGACAATATAATGGGAACAAATGCAATAATGTCTTTCTGACTTATAACGTAACAACATACAGCTATTATCCTCTCACAAATATTCTAATTTAACTTAAGCCAAAGGTTAATTATTGTGGTGACTGCCTCTAATTCTTATGAACATGTTACGACAAAAATTGATCTGGTCTCTTTTCTTCACTCTGTCACCACCAAATTGATCCACTTCAATTGTTTCTTCTTGTCCTCATGTCAGGAACCATAATTGCCTTATTCCCAACCAGATCAACAAGAAAAAATAGTTTCTAGGTTTTATCCAGGAATTTTTGAATGCTTACCTTTTGCTGTTTTATGCTTCTGATTAATTGTAAGGCTGGACATATCAGATCCCAGAATAAAAACTGACAATAGAATTTTTCACTAGATACTGTGAGGTTTGTCAGAGGACATGTTCACACATGGCTGTCAATGTTCCTTTAACACAAGAACAAGAGTTTATTACATGAAGGAAAGAAAAACAAACAAAACTATTCATGCATTTTTAAAACGTCTTAACATGAACAGTAAAACCTCATCCACCTCTATTTTAAAAAATTAAGTTCCCAAGTTATAACAATATATGTTGTACTCCTTCATTGTAGTTATGATATGAATTATGATAAGAAATGACTTTTTTTCTGTTTTAGCCAATGAAATAAATATATAAACATTGCACAAATTGTTGAGTAATTGTTTATTTTAAAAATGTCTGCCTGTATATGTGAAATACATATGCAGTAGTTTTTTTTTTAATCCAGTAGTGGTAATTATATATTAATTGACTGTTTAATTGTGTTCAATATGGCCATTAATTGTTAATTCACTTATACACCTATATATTGAATAAGATACTTCTATTGAAAGTATATGTTTATAATGTGTGATTCTATAAACAAATTATGTTAACATCAGGTTTATGTTCTAAACTCCATTACCTGATTGTTTAGTGTTGAACAATAATTATACTTTTAGATGATGGAGACAGAGAGCAGAATTTGCAGGTTGTGATTGACTTTTCATTCACATAACTTTATTCAACTCTAATTATCATTTTAGAATGTGTATGTAAAAAGTTGGATATTTACATGGATTAAGTCTTAAAAGCAAGATTTTATTTGTGGTGACATTGTTATTTATCATGTTAACTGAGTTTGTACAGGATGAAATTTCCATCACCTATTGAACATGAAAGTTGTATCCATTTTACCATAATCTAAATATGAGTTTTTATTCTCAGGGCAAGGCAGCAAAATTAGGACATTTCCTAGTTCTGTAAATCTGACCTAGGATAAAATACCCCATGGTGTCAAATTTTCATTCTGGGGGTGGCATTCCCTCAGCCCACACACACCTCATATACATTACATGACGGTGTATTCTTTCAGTTTGTAGTGAGTGATCCCAGGAAGAGTGTAGAGGCTGAGGTCATCAGATGTGGAGAAGGGTTAGGTGCCTCAGTATGCCTGTACATTGTGAAAGAAAATTAAAAATAATGAAACATAAACCATCCGTCAGACATCACCCGTCACATTCCCTCAGCCCACACACAACTCATTAACATTGCATGACAATGCATTCAACCTTATGCCTTTTATCCAGCCCCAGGGCTCTTCATAACCTCTATATTAACTAACCTTTCCTTTCACACCCCACATTTCTTTTTATAGACTCTAATGCCAACTTAGTGCCAACTCATGCCTCTCACCCATTATGCTTTGCTCTCATACCTATTGTGCCAACTTACCCAGAATCCAGCATGGGCAGAACTCAGGACTCATGATGAGATTAGATTAAGTTCATAAATTGCAACAAAATAATTCACTATTTCGAAAAACAAACACTCCAGTTGTTTAAAGTAAACTCACTACTTTTAACTTGCTGTAACATTTTTAAAAATAAACATTGTGGCATGAGCCTACTTGAAATAGTCTATAACTCCCTGGTGGTGTCTATCAAACTGTAATTTGAAAGGAACCAGACTGTGATAATGGAAGGTTGTGAAATCAGCCATGCCTCACTAATCCAGTCATGATAAACCTCTTATATGTGTCAACAGAGTGAAATACCAAGCACAAGTTGTTTTAAACACGACAGGGATTTTTTCCAATATTTAAAAGGAAGGTGTTTTAAATGCCTTGACAGTTTGACAGCCCCTTTTGACAGTTCTGTTGACAGTTTCAATTGGTTTGTGCACTTTTTATGCATATTTACAACTACATTTAACCTCCCAAAGAGTAGCTTACCTCAAGAAAAGAACTTTTCTTTTCTAAGGGGTATATGGCCTCCTCATAAGTGGCCTGGGACCAAATCGAAAAGATTACCCTTCCTCTCCAAAACAGCACCATACCCATCTGAAAAATTTAGACCTACTCCAACCAGGTCTGGTCTGCATATAGTGTTTCCCACTCATCTAGTTGATGAAAGCAGACATGACAGGAGGCAGTGTACTATCTTAGCAACTGTGACTATAAACCATTGGTGTGCAATTATGTTTGGGTCGAGACTTGTAGTTTCAGAACTCCAGAGTTATTTTCACAATGATAGAGAAGCTCTCAATGGTTGTGGAAATTCAGGCCCTAGATTCTAAACTAAACTGCCACTAAACTAGCCGTCCCACTCATTGAGGCAATAGAAATGCTTGCAAAATAAATAAAATACGTAAGTGTGGTTTCAAATGCCATCAACAATATTATACTTTTGCAGAAGATAATATTTTTAAAGAAGGGTCTAGGCCCGAAACGTCAGCCTTCCTGCTCCTCTGATGCTGCTTGGCCTGTTGTGTTCATCCAGCTCTACATCTTGTTATCTAATATTTTTGACGAGACAGGGTAAAGCCTTAACCAGTATTGAAAATAAGGAAAAGAAGTATTAAATACAGAATATTTTGATCTTCTGTCAATACAAGTTAGGGCAACAATCTCAATTTTTGGTAAAGATTCTATCTATGCTTTAGATTCCTTTATCAGTTATGGACTAATGGTGTGTTAAATAACATTGTTTAGGATATCCAGATCACTGATATTGACTACATGGAAAATAAAAAGGATTTTACTTATGATTTGGGAAAGTTCCGCAATTTACCTGAATTTGCTCACGATTTACATGCACATGGCCAGAGATACATTATCATTCTGGTAAGTTGCATAACCTTACTGCTGTCCATTTCATTGATTATTTGAAAATAACTTAAATTAGAATGAAGAGTTTTAAAGAAGCAAAAATATATAATGATTGTATGTCAAGCTGTTATATGAATATAAAACACAAAGAATAAACATTAACAAAAATAACATTTAAAAATATCACAAGACAGGCTACTATTACCTGTATTTCTGTTGTTATGATCAAAATAATTCATTTACAACCTTGGAAGAGCATTGCACTAAGAATGATTTTGCAAAAACATTGTGCTCTGAAATACTACAGTACTAGAAACATTAATACAAGACTGGTAAACCAGAGATGCTGCATTCAAATCCCAACTGTGTAATGAACTACATTTCATAAATTTGTGAGCTAACATTATGAAAGCTGCCAGGTCATCACAAAAAATGCAACTGCTTCACTAATGTCTTCAGGGAAAGGATTCTCAGCGCAACTAAGGTTAGGTAATAAATATTGCTTTACCATTGTCTACTGCATCTGCAAAACAAATTAAGATAATATATCAACCTTTTGGAAACACAATGTGATTGACAGTTTTTGTGACTTGACTGCTTATAATTCTGCTTTTTTCATCATAACTCAGGATCCAGCCATTAGCACACAGGCACTGACGAATGGTCCCTATGAATCTTATGATAAGGGCACAAAAATGGGAGTGTGGGTCCATGAATCTGACGGAAAGACACCCCTTTTAGGAGAGGTAACTGTTTTTTGTACGTATGGTATGGAATGCGAATTCCTGAAAGATAAAATCTGGAAATATTAATCTATAAACGGACATATGTAGATGTTGACTACAATAATGCATTTTTATTGTTTTGATATACGCAATGATCTCAACACCCATCTATTACAATGGAATTCTAAATTTGAAGTTCTTTACAGTTAAAAGTTAATCATGTTCTGCTTCATAACATTATTTTTCCATTATTGTTTATAATGCTATAAAGACAAAATTCACAATCCATAAACACACCACTGTTTCTTTATCTCTTTTCATTTAGGTCTGGCCAGGTGAAACTGTCTTCCCCGACTATACAAATCCCCAGTGCATTAAATGGTGGGTGGAGGAATGTGCAAACTTCCATCAAACGATAAATTATGATGGACTTTGGATAGTATGTTCCATTTTTTATCTCACCTGTTCATCTTATTTGTTTGTGTTTTCTCTGTTTTATGAAGACTAATTGTAAAACCTGTCAGTATATATTGTTATATATATCTTGTTATATCTTTCAATTGCAGGATATGAATGAAGTGTCAAGTTTTAAGTTTGGTTCAGTAAAGGGATGTGTTAAGAATCAATGGAACAATCCTCCCTTTGTTCCAAGTAAGTTCTATTTTGCACAAAAAGAACAGAAATTGCTGGAGAAACTCAACAGATCTGGCAGCATCTGTGGAGAGAAAACAGAGTTAACATTTTTGTCCACTGAAGGGTCATAGAAATATAGAAGATAGGAGCAGGAGGAGGCCATTCGGCCCTTCAAGCCTGTTCTGCCAATCATCACGAGCATGGCTGATTGTCCAACTCAATAGCCTAATCCTGCTTTCTCCGCATAACCTTTGACACAATTTGCCCTAAGTGCTATATCTAGCTGACTCTTGAATACATTCAATGTTTTGGCATCAACTACTTCCTGTGGTAATGAATTCCACAGACTCACCACTCTTTGGGTGAAGAAATGTCTCCTCATCTTCATCCTAAATGGTCCACTCCAAATCATCAGACTGTGTCAGTGGACCAGGAATGATATCTCTGTTTTCTGTCCACAGATGCTGCCAGACCTGCTGAGTTTCTTCAGCAATTTCTGTTTTTGTTTCAGATTTCCAACACTTATTTCAAGTTTTATTTTAAAATGGAGTGAGCTCTTCCTTGAATCATAGTAGCCAAAATTCAGCTGCATGTGTTTAGTGTATACGTTCCCAGATCCTATACAGTCCACATTTCAAAGAGGTGCATCAAGTCCATTGAATAACTATTTGACATCATGATCAGACCATTCCTGATATTTCAAGGCACACAAAACACATTCACACTAGTATCTTTCCCAGCGTGGAGTACTATGTAGGGTACTATGTAGGGTATACTGGATGTTCATAGAAGAGCAATGCACCATGTTCAGACGTCAGGGCTGCCCCCCATGTCATGGTGGCACCCAACATGTCTTTCTGCAGTGGCGTTGGATGAGGGGGTGTTCACATCCTTCAAGCGCCGCTTTCCATATCAGATGTCCTGGGTGCCTGACTACCTCTTCCTCCATTCCCCCATTCTTCGCCTGCCCCTGATAGATGCTTCCAACCTCATCCTCTCCACCAAGGCATTAGCCATCATCACTTCACTGCCTCAGGACAAGGGTTCCCAATTGAGCATCAGGGCCTACAGTTGGGTTGTGGGATGAGCTTTTGTTGAGGAAACTCTGTTTGGAAAGTCCTAAGACCGGGTAGTGGTCAAATAGACATGGGAGCAAACAGATTTTGCACAGACCACATCAATGTGATAACACAATGTGGAGCTGGAGGAACAGAGCAGGCCAGGCAGCATCAGAGGAGCAGGAAAGTTGATGTTTCGGGATTGGTTCCCTTCTTCAGAAAATCACCTGTTCATCTTATATGTTTGAGTTTTTTCTGTTTTATGAAGTCCTCTGATGCTGCCTGGCCAGCTGTGTTCCTCTAGCTCCACACTGTGTTATCTCTGACTCCAGCATCGGCAGTTCTTATTATCTCCACATCAATGTGGTTAGTTTTCTGCTGGCTAAAAATTCTAATGAAATGTATATACCTCGGATTTGATATGCTTTCAGAGTGAAAATTTAGGCCTACAAGAGTTATTGAGTGGGGTGCGATAGGAGAGGAATTGGGCTGAGGGGAGAGGAATTGGGTTGAGGGGGTGGTTTTCAATTGTTGAGTTTGGGTGAGGGATGGAGCCATAAAACAAAACAAGAGGGCAAGATAATAATGTTCTCGCTCTGCCTATCTATAGTGCATGGTTACTCTAAACATATACAAATTATGAGCTTTTAAATAAAAAATATTTTAAGAAAATCTTGCCTAACACATCGGGCCCAAGTAGAAACTTGGACCCATGTGCTAAGTACCCTCCTCTCCCAGAGAACTTTGTGCCAGAAAAAAAAATCATATGTGCCTGTGTTAGACACTGAGATATGTTCACTCATCCTCGCAATGAACTCTGAGCCAAAGGGAATATGGGTGTGTTAATGGCAGACCCTGAGAAACACCAGTTATCTTCCCTCCCATTCCCACAAACTGTGAGGTGGGGAAATAAAAACCGAATGCATGTGTCATTGTATCTTGGAGCTCTTCCCAGGACTTTCTCAACAGATTGTCCACTCCAATAGCTGAATTATGATCTTGGAGATCATGACCCCAAACTCCCGTCCCCGTCTGAAGTGAATGTTGGTTTCCCAAATTAATCCAATATTGTCCTTTGAAGGGGAAAGAATAAAATCCCTTCTGGGAAAATGTTTGAAGGAAAGACTAATTCCAGGTATTGCCAGCTGGTTTAACACAGTGTGGAGCTGGAGGAACACAGTAGGCCAGGCAGCATCAGAGGAGCAGGAAAGCTGATGTTTCAGGTCAGGACCCTTCTTCAGAAATGGGGGAGGGGAAGGGGGCTCTGAAATAAATAGAGGGAGGTGTTGGGCTGGGAAAGGTAGATGGTGATAGCAGATACGTAGTGGTGGGGATTGGTGAGGTGGGAGGAGCGGATAGGTGGGAGAGAAGACGGACAGATCAACGAGGTGGGGATGAGAGGGAGGGCTGGTCTTGGGATGAGGCTGGGGGTGGGGAGATTTTGAAGCTAGTAAAGTCCACATTGAGACCATTGGGCTGTAGGTTTCCAAGGCGGAATATGAGGTGCTGCTCCTCCAGTTTCCGGGTGGCGTCGTTATGACACTGGAGGAGGCCCAGGATGGACATGTCGTCCAGGGAGTAGGAGGGGAACTTCAAGTGGTTTGTGACTGAAAGGTGTTGTTGTTTGTCACGAACCGAGCGTAGGTGCTCTACAAAGCAGTCTCCGAGCCTCCCCTTGGCCTCACCGATGAACGAGGAAGCCGCAGAGAGAGGGTGGGGAGGGAAATATATCCTTCATTGTGCGGTCAGATTGCATGTGGCGGAAGTGGCAGAGAATGATGTGTTGAATCCGGAGGCTAATGGAGTGATACGTGAGGACAAGGGGAATTCTGTCTTTGTTTTTGTTGCAGGGAGGGGATGAGAGGGCTCTCCATGCCTCCCTTGTCCACTCACACTCCCCACTAGCCCCACCACCCCCGGCACCTTTCCCTGCAACCACAGAAAGTGCTACACCTGCCCCTACACCTCCCCCCTCACCTCCATCCCACCCCCAAAAATACCTTCCACATCAAACAGATGTTCACCTGCACATCTGCTAATGTGGTCTGTTGTATCCGCGGTTCCCGATGTGGCCTCCTCTATATCGGGGAAACCCAGTGGAGGCTTGGACACTGCTTTGTGGAGCATCTACGCTTGGTTCATGACAAACGACAACACCTCCCAGTCGCAAACCACTTCAACTTCCCCTCCCGCTCCCTGGACAACATGTCCATCCTGGGCCTCCTCCAGTGTCACAACACCACCACCTGGAAACTGGAGGAACAACACCTCATATTCCGCCTTGGGAGCCGACAACCCAACGGTCTTAATGTGGACTTTACTAGCTTCAAAATCTCCCCAACCCCAGCCTCATCCCATGACCAGCCCTCGCTCTCATCCCCACCTCATTGACCTGTCCATCTTCTCTCCCAACTCACTGACCAATCCCTGCCACTACCTACCAGCTATCACCATCCCACCTACCTTTCCCAGCTCAACCCCACCCCTCTCTATTTACTTCCGAGTCCCCTTCCCCTCCCCCATTTTTGAAGAAGGGTCCCAACCCAAAACGTCAGCTTTCCTGTTCCTCTGATGCTGCCTGGCCTGCTGTGTTCCTCCAGCACCACACCGTGTTATCTCTGATTCCAGCATCGGCAGTTCTTACTATCTCTCGTTGCCAGCTGGTTTGTTGTTCAAATAGGGACAAACACCATTTGAACTTGCCCTAGGTCTAGGTAGAAATTTTCCTCCAGAATTTTCTATATACAAATTAGCTGTGTTAACTGGTGTAAAGAAGCTGCTTCCTGAACAGGTCAAATTCTTTCTTATATAATTCAAACCTTCTTTTAGTTTCTTTCTATCTTGCTCTGTTTTACTTATTAGTTGGATTACTGCTAATGAAACAAATTTTCTGGGGAATATTTCATGACTTCCCTGCATTGTCACCTGAGATTTGATATTGAGATTTGAGAGTGAGAGATCCTAATCTACAAGGAAAGACATTGCTACATACCAGAATCAAAATAAGCATGTAAGACAAGATCCATACACAGTGGAATTTGCATGATAAGTTTCTAACTTTGCCTCAGTAGAACTTATGCCAAAGTTAGATGTATATTCTTTGCATTTTTGGATATGAACTTCCATATAATGAATTTTTTTCTTTTGAAGAGATTGTTGATAGACTGATGTATGCTAAGACCCTTTGCATGGATGCCCAACAAACTGGAGGAATGCATTATGATCTTCACAGTCTTTATGGACATTCAATGATACTTGCTACTGAACAGTAAGTGTTAAATGTATGAATAAATTTTCATATGTTGAGGTGAATCAGTGTCATAAGGTGAAGGAGTTTGTTAATGATTTTATTGTTTTACGAAACCAATTATCATAGCACTTCTGCTGGAGTTAAAGACCCTCTCCAAACATTCTGCTTGAGGTTGTTGACAACCTCACCCACAATCCAAGCTACAAATCTTAGCAAGAACCTAGAACATTTTGCTTCAGTTCAGACTTTTGGATGAATTTTTTCTTACAGCCTTACTGTAAAACTGATTTTTGTGGATCAACTGCATGCTTATTACAGAAACAATCACATAATTGTTTCTATTTCAATCAATATCAGGAAAATCAGATGGTTTATAAAATGGGGAGCTGATCCACAATGTTCCAATTTTATAACAACCAGCTAAACATTCACGTCCATGCAAAATCACTTATGGTACTAATTCATTCAGAAATCGACTATATTCAGTCTCGTATCTACTTTTGTACGTGTCTGAATTCTTTGAAGTATATACGAACAATCGTTAATTTCATACCTACTTTCACTGAGGATCTGATATTAGATAGGCTGCTTTAGTGATTGCAAGGTATTTATCTTCCTAGGATCTCCTGTGGTTACAACAGCCAAATTTATCATAGAATCATTTTGGCAATTAAGGGTAAATATACTTTTTTCAAAACAAAATCTATATGAAAACAATTGGAACATTCCGGCATTACAATCAAACAGTTTAGGCTTTTGAATTGCTATTCTTTTTCAGCTTGGAAATTTAGTCTACGTAATGCATGATCTGAAATTCTGACTTAATTTATTCACTTCATATATTCTAAAAGCCAGAATTCACTCAAGTGGAAGAGAAGATTAAAATGAATTGTATATATTGGCTTTAGATCATTTCTCAAAATTGATTTGATACAGAGCAAAAGAGCAATGCATTTCCATATGACAAGAAAATGTTTATCAGTGTTCTTTTCTCTCTTTTGTTTGCCAATCCCTAGGTGCTCTATACTGCTTAGTTGAAATGGTTAATATCATGGTCTTGAAATTCTGAAAGAGTCTCCTAAGTCTTGTGCTACACTTCAGTTCATGCCAATACCACTATCAGAGAAATGCCAATATATGACAGAAAACAATTTCCATTTGTCTTCAATTGAAGTTATGCAGGAAATGAGGGACATTCCCATAGAATTTCAGGAACCATTATCTTGAGAATGAGTTCTGAAAACATATTCAACTCAGCACTTATGCACTTTCAATAGTGGAAAATAGCCAGACAACCCATAAATGATTGTACCATTCTTGCGCCAAGTGCAGTGCAATTAATTGTAGTCCCCTTGCTGTAGGCCACCAGAGATCTTGAACTTGGGGCCCTTCAAGTCAACATTGCTCAACCATAGTTGATGGTATTCTTTATTGTGTTAGTCCCCTGTATCATTGGATAAAGTAATCAACTTTTAATGGTACGACAGTAATTCAAAATAATTAATTGGCAAAATTGCTAAAATCATGCGATGCAATTTTTATTTGTTCATCCATGGGATTTCAATGTCACTGGCTGGGCCAGAACTTATTGCTCTTCCCTAGTTACCCCTGAGAAGGTAGTCATGAAATGCCTTCTTGAACCACTATAGTCCATTTGCTTAAGCACCGACGATGGTGTTAAAGAAGGAGTTCCAGGAGTTTGACCCAGAGACACTGAAGAAATAATGTAATATTTCAAGTTAGGATGTTAAGAGGCTGAGAGGGGAAATCGTAGGTGGTGGCGTTCCTGTGTATCTTCCATCCTTATCCTTATAGCTGGTAATGATCATGGGTTTGGAAGGTGCTATCTGAGGGACTTTGTTGAATTTCTGCTTCTTGTAAAAGGTACACGTTTCTGCTGTGCGTTGGTGTTGGTGGAAATGAATGCTTGTGAATGTGTTGCTGATTGCTATGGGTGGCACTGCCTTGTGCTCTTTAAGTAGACCTAGCAGGGGTTTGTTGTCCATTATTATTACAAATTTAAGTCCATAAAGGTATTGGCAGAACTTCCTGACTCCAAGTCTGACTGCCAAACCCTCCTTCTCTTTCTGGGCATGTTTACACTCTGCATTACCCAAAGTCCCGGATGCATACGCTTTTGAGTGTTTCTCGCCATTGGGCCACCAATAAGCTCATACTAACCCGATGCCATATGGGGAAGCATCGCATGTCAATACCAGATCTACCTTAGGATCATAGTGTGCCAACGCCTTAGAAGATGATAGCTGTTTTTTCACTTCCCTGAAAGCTATAGCTTGTCTACGCGACCATTTCCAAGGCTGACCCTTTTTTAAGAATTGATACAAAGGTACCAGGTTGGATGCCAGGTTATGTATGAACTTTCCCTAATAATTCACCATAAAAAATAAAGACCTAAGCTCCAGTACAGATGTGGGAACTGGAGCACATTTGATTGCCCTCACTTTATCTTCCAATGGGTGTAACCGGGTCTTGTCGACTTTGTAATCCAAGTAGGTCTCTTGGGGTGCCTGGAGTACATACGTTTTTCTCTTCTAAGGTGTTCACCCACCTTGGAGAAACATCTAAAGACTATGTCCAAGTTCTCTAAAAGCTCCTTATTGGTCTTCTGTGTTATTAGCACCTCATCTAGATAAATGGTAACCGGGATAGACCTTGTAAAATGTTCTCCATTGTCCACTGAAAAATTGCACAGGCTGACAATTCCCCAAATGGCAGACTCGTATATTGGCACCAATCCTGTATTAATTGTAGCATATTTCTGGGGATCCTCATCTAACTGCAATTGCAGGTATGCATGGCTAACGTCCAGCTTCGTGAAGACAGCCCTTTGCCAGCTTTGCGTAAAACTCTCAATGCAAGGAGTTGGGTTTTATCTAGCTGCGAGAAGTAGTTTACCATTTGTTTAAAATCCCCACAAAAGTGAACTGCCCCATTGGGCTTCACAATTGATCTGACTAATGCTGCCCATTCCACAAACTGCACAGGTTTAATGATTCCTTCACTTTTCAACCTTCTGATTTCTGCCTCTCCTTTTGTACATAAGGCAAATAGTACTAGGCAGACCTTGCAGAATCATGGATCAACATGCAAGGTGGCCTTGGATCGTTTGATAATACCCAGATCTTCCTGAAAAACTTTGGGGTATTTAATTAGGACTTCCCTAAGGCAGCCATTTTCTAATCGAAAAATGTTGAGCCAATTTAAGTGAATCTTTCTCAATCAATTTTGCCCCATCAAGCTTGCTTGGGCCCAAGCCTTTTACTACAATCAGTGGTAACCATATCAGCTGCTTCTCCTAAGAGACCAGAACCAAAGTTGTATCCTTAATCTGTAAAGGTTCCCCAGTATAAGTTCTCAGCCTAGCCGAGGTCTTGCGCAAACTGAAGGCTTGGAATCCAAAGTGAATTTAGTTAAAGACTGGTTCTGTGATCACTGAAACAGCCATGCTAGTATCGACCTCCGTTAGAACTGGGTGGTCATTTAATCAGTCCTTTATTTTGATTGGTTCTGATTCGGATGTTGCTAAGCAATTTAACTGTTTCAAACAGGTGTTGGTGGACTTTCCAGGCTGTGCACTCTCCTGGATACTGGCCTATGATTTCTTGTACTCTCTCGGTTTAATAGGACTCCTTTGCTGTCTTGAGTCCGTATACTACAATGACTTGCTGGCCTGGATCCTGAAAAAAATTTTAACCGCTTGGCCAAGGTTTGGCTTTGTTTTGGGATTTGCTGTGGGCTGACCTAGAATCCCTCTGTTCGGGATATGTCCAGAGTGAGGCTATTCAATTGCCTGCACTCAGCTGGTGTTCCCCAGGCTCAGTTGGCCTGGTAAGGGTGTTCACTTCCATCAGAGTACTCTGCAACTCGTGCTCCACTTGCCATATTTTCCAATGATAAAGCCAGTTGGGCCTGTTTGAAATTTAGTTGGGCTTCAGCTATTAGGTGCCTTTGCATGGTTACATCATTAATCCCACATATCAAACAGTGTCTCAGCATCTCATTAAGGGTTAAACCAAAGTCAAATGCCTCTGTCAGTTGCCTTAACCTAGTCAAAAATACTGATATACATTCCTCTGGTTCTCAGATTACCAAGTAAAATAATAGCACCTCAGAATTAGAGGAGGCTTGGGATCATAATATTCCTTAACTAAATCCTTCAACTCTTGTAGGTTTTAATATCTGGTACCTCAGCGTAAGTTAGGCTCCTAATAACTGAAAAAGCTGAAGGTCCACAAGCTGTCAGGAGAATTATTTATTGCTTTTCATTTGCCCCAATGTCATTTGCCTGGAAAAATATAACACATTTTTTCCACATACTGGGCCCAGTCTTTGATGACAGGATTGAACAGGTCAAGCTTCCCAAATAATGGCATGATGCCAGAAATGCTTACCCCAACTCAAAAGTGACTATTGCGACTGATTTCTTCAGGAGCGTGCTTTTCTCTCATTGCCACTGAAATAACTCCACAGAGGCTGGTATCTTGTCACCAAGTCACCCGTTATTTACACGTGGAGAGAGCTTGACACTGATCCAGCTTCCTCAGAGATAGCCTTCAGAGTGAAGAGAACCTCTGAAATTCCTGTACTAATCCATCAGCCAGGGCTCAATTATTGGACCTTATTAACAGCCCCAATCAGGGAACTCATATTCTATGAAGTCCACCTGGCTGACCTTGTTACAATCACTATAAATCCCACTATTCCTGGATTCATCACAATTAAAAATAAAACATTGTTCGCAAGTAATTGTCCCTTAGTTCAGAATCATGGGCTCCATAGTGTCTGATTTTGCTTTCTCTGTTCCAGGAACAAATGCAAATTTGTATACAATTCACAGTGTGCTTCCAAACATGATTTTTAGGATTGCAACCATCTCTTTGAACATTTTCCTTGGTTGAAAACGGTATTTTCCTTTTTTAGTCCATGAGCAAAAATAGGAAATACAAAGTCGTCTTTACAACATTATAACAAAAAAAAACCTTTGCTTGACATTGCAGAGTAATTAACCGTGTGTTTCCTGGAAAAAGAAGCATTATTCTTTCACGATCAACGTTTGCTGGGTCAGGAAGTTATTCAGGACACTGGCTGGGAGATAATGCAGCAAACTGGAATGACATCAAGTGGGCAATTCCCGGAATGCTTGAGTTTAATCTTTTTGGTTTTCCATATGTAAGTTAATTTAAGCATACGTCAGCCAAATTGACAGTAAAAGTCAGAAAAGCAACATTCAACTGGTTATATGTCTTGATGACAAATCCTTTTTGTGTAATATTTGGCACGCATTATCAAGATTACAAAATGTCAATCACAACAATGGTTTGTATATGGAGAGCTTAACTGTTTATAGAAACTGAACAGTCTTAACTCTTGAAGAGCTGCAAGAGTCACAATTGTACTTCCTTTTAACAGATAGGAGCAGATATTTGTGGTTTCTTTGACAATTCACCTGAAGAACTATGTAGGAGATGGATGCAGGTTGGAGCATTTTATCCATTTTCTAGGAACCACAATGCTGAGAATTATAAAGTGAGTTGAGATTCAATATTTTATTGCAACATTAGAAAATGCAACTTATGAAAATATATATTGACCCAATAATTAGTGGGGCCTAAGGTCAGATTTAATTAATAACAATAACAAAAAAATTCTCCATCATAATTCAAATCTTGCCTTGTAGCCTCAAGATCCTGCCTTTTATGGTGAAGACTCCCTTTTAGTGAACAGTTCCAAGCATTACTTGAATATTCGATATACATTGCTTCCTTACCTCTACACGCTCTTTCACAAGGCCAATGTTAATGGAGACACTGTAGTTCGACCACTGCTTCATGAGTAAGTTCTTTAAAGAATCAATGAATGTTGTTAATTATTAAACATATATTAACATATTATCAAACCATTCTAGGGAAATTAAGTCCCCAATGACATTGAAATTGTGTTCAATGAAATTCAGTATACATGTGGTATTCTTTCTGCTTAAACAGTTTTGAGATCAAATGAACAATTTCTGTTGAAATTAATTTAAACAGCAACAAAATGGAAGATGAAATCCATGTAAATATAATTCATGGAAATATGGTCAAACCTGCTGCTCACATTAGGTTGATTCATTAGTATTTTTTTGCTTTCACATCCATGTTATGTGCCACCCATATAGATCAGAACTATGACATCTCAGATGATGTGAGTGTGGGGCTAAATCTTCCACACAATATATTACCTCAAATTATTATTGCAAATTTTCCAGCAAGCAACTTAAGATGGAATTGTCAGAGATCTAGAGAAAAGTTACCTGTCACAGTTGGTGGATGAAAAGCATGGCACAGTATTCAGATTTCACAGTACAGGAAAGATACTGAGACATTTTGTATGATTCAAGGTAAAGTTCATTAACAGGATCAGTATGGATGAGAATTGTGCAGTTTGTTATTATATCATGCTTACTACATGTCTAGAGAACACTTCAAATATATCCCAAATAGAAGGATACATTTTCTTTCTTGTGTGGTAATTAGGAATCACAAACAAAATAAGTCCGAGCAGAAACCTTCCAGTTACCATTCATATGATGAAATTGGTTGTATCCTAAGACATGATAGAAATATGGAGCATTAATGTGGCCTGTCCAGTGGCTGTTTCTGCTTGGGCTTCATCATCCCTCCTGGCCTGAATTGTAAAATGCCTTGTAATATTTTGCTCTATTAGTTATGCTGTATAAGTACAAATCACAACAAATGTTACATAGGTTTCTAACAATTTATCAGGAAATGTAGAAGCAGATTGATTATATTTTCCTGATTCCATATGTAATGTTGTATTAATTGTTCACTGTTACAATTGATGATAAAGTAGCAAATTTCACTTTAATGTACTGTTAACCACAATATAAAGACATTCAAGTGCAACAATATTCAAACATGTAAATTGTTTTATCTTTTACAAGGTTTCCTACAGACAAAACAACATGGACTATCGACCTTCAGTTCCTATGGGGACCTGCTCTTCTTATCACACCTGTACTGGATCCCGTATGTTAATTAAGCTGTCTTTTTAAAAATATTTAAACAATGAACAAACTAGTAACAAATGACAAAGTTATCACTCTAGTATTGTAGAGTAGGAATGACTTTGATTTTTAAAATATCAAAACATATGTGAATTTCTTACAGAGCAGTTTATGGTTTACTCTCTCATTAGTAATTGGATGCTTTCACTGAATTTAATGTGATTTGATTGGTCTGCTTTTTCCTATTATTTTGACTGCCCAGTCAAGGCTGTCCGTACAAGTCATTCCAGGGAAAATGGTTCATGGTCAGGTAACCTATTAAGGTAAACTCATGAAGTCCTGGGGAAAGTGAGAAACTCAAGTCTAGGGAAGGGCTTCATTGAAAGGCATCACTGGGGAAATGAAAGGGGGAAATTCAAGATAAAAAGATTAGACCCTATAGAGCAAAGGAGGGGACAGGAGCTTGAGATGCAGGGTGCAGGTTAAAAAGTCACTGTCATTCTGAATTCTACTTGAGACCAGTGTGTGACTAAAAATGACTGTGCAATTCATAAATTTCTATAATGTGTTACAACTTAATTGGGAAAAGTGCGTTGATTTTGGAGTGTTACTTTTCCACAAGCCATTACAATGTGTAACTACCAAATGAAACCAATAAGATGACCAATTTGTCTGACTATTATTCAGTACAAAAGCAATTTACAAGTTTCACCATGAACAATAAGATAACTCCAATAGAAACATACCTATTATTTGACAAATAGCTGAGAAAATAAAGGATTATATATCAACTACCATCTGACTAAAACTATATCCACTGAAAAACTCATTCATGAATACACAAGAGACAAATATTTTGACCCAGGTGCAATGGATAGAAAAATATAGACAGGGAAAACAAAATTCTGAAGATCAACAGTACAGATCACAGGGGTGAGTTAAACTGTCTCTCACAGTTCTTTTCATTTTAGCCATGATGGTACATTGTGTGTGAAGCAATGGTCATTCTTCACTTCAATAGTTGATCTGGCGCTTAGGTTTTTTTTAAAGATTTAAATTCTTTCTTTTAAATTTTTTTGTCTTTTCACTCACACCAAAAGTTGGGAGAAAGAGATGTTTTCCGTTTGCTGACTCTGGAGTTCTGTGGCTACTCTACACTTACAAATCTGGTACAAATTGTAGCTGGACCAATCCAAGGGTTGTCATCAGGCAGTCTTTCCTAACTCAAAGAATCCTGGTGCTACTTTGTTGTAACACTATATTGCAGTGATATCACTACTTAAACAGAAATATTGTCTTGTACAGCTAAATATGTGCACCACTTGATTTTACCAAGTTGCAAAACTTTTATGTTATTTCAGCTGTAAAGCAGTCTGATTTCCATTCCACTTCCCCAGTGTACCACAAATACTTTAATTGTATTAGATACATTTGTATAAGGTGACACATCTCAGAGTTCCATTTTGCAGCATAATATATGAACATATGAATTGGGAGCAGGAGTATGCCAGAACTAGGGGGCACTGTTTTTAATTTAGGGGTCACTCTTTTAAATGTTCTCTTTCAGAGGTTTGAATGACTTTGCAACTTTCTGTCTCAGAAGGTGGTAGAGGCAGAATCATTGCATATTTTTAAGGTGTAGTTCACAGATTCTTATTAGGCAAGGTACTCAAAGTTTATCAAGTACACATCTAGGAATGTGAAATTTGAAATAGAAATAAATCAGCCACGATCTAATTAAATGGTGGCATACTCTTGAAGAACTGAATGGCCTATATCTGCTCCTAATTCATATATTTATATGATGCAGGACCACAGTGTAAAGTTCAGTTTCTGGCTTGCAGAATCTGAGGTGGTGTGGAGCTGGGGCTTAAATATGGCACTACCAGTGTAAGCGTTGCAAGCTCCCTGCAGCAGCAAATATTTCCACCTCTCTTGCCATGCAGTTGCATGAGATGGGCATATTAGAGGCCAATTACATAAATAAGATGTAGAGCAGAGGATTACGTGAGAAAAGTGGCATCAGCCACAGGGGGCACTCAAGAAAACCCTTTGCCAAAAATGGGAAATTTCAGCCCTTAATATCATAAAGATATTAACACTGTTTCTCTCCTTATTTTTGCCAATCAGTTTAACATCTCACCTGAAAAGTTGCACCTCTGATTTTACAGTGCTTCTTCAGCACTGCACTGGAGTGCCAACTATATGTGGTCAGTTCTCTAGAGTGGTGTTTGATCCCAGTCATTGTGCTCCAGAGATACAAGTTATGAGTTATGGCTGAAAATATTGTAGAATTATGGCACACCAGAAGCCAAGGAATGTCTGTCAGGCTGAAATAAAAATGATGCCTTTCCTATTTCATTTTTCAAATGTAAGCTAAATACCTTTCTTAAAAATTCATAACAATGATTCTTATATACTTTCCTTTATTTTCAGAGTACGGAAATTGTCCATGCCTATGTGCCTGATGCAGTTTGGTATGAGTATGAAACAGTAAATATCACTTTAATTCAATTTTGAACTCATAAATTCTTATTCCACAGTTGAACACTCCTGCAGTGCGATAGCACTGACAATGAACAACACCCAATAAATCATGGTTCAAATGCATCAGATTTTCCATCTATTAAATTAATGGATAGAAAATTATACACTGCAGACCCACAATTTTTTGGCTACAGTTCCCTGCTAGGATAACGCACATAGGAATCAGTGCTATCATTTCTGAGAACTAAAGATTTTCCTTAACCATCTAGTACATCAAAAGATTTAAAACAGATTAAGTATACTTTGGGCCGTAAATCAGATATTCAATTCCAATGATAATAGTTACTACAAGAAAACACTAAAGGTCTTTATTGTTGTCTCTGAACTTAATTCTACTGCCTCCAAACCTTAACAGGAATGGGGAGGTGTAGTCAACTTGGTCAAGACAAAAAAAACAGGAAGGCAATATTTGCTATTTTTTCTATCATCCAGCATGCAACTGTCTTATCACCGTGAAGAATTCCAAGGTAATAGCTTGGCTGAAAGCTTATCGCATTGCCCAACAGTTTGCTAATTTTATTTTTTATCAGGATAGAAATCAGTTCTGCTCATTTTTAATGGCTTCAGAGTGCTGTATGACTGAATTTAATGGCCCGGATATTCCAACGGCCAGATAGTCATTAGAGCAGCACAGACTGAAACTGCGCATTTGAATGCCATGGAATTCCAGACATAACAGTCTCTGCAGGAATTACCTGGTAAACTGAAGATTATGATGTGTAACTCCCCCATATATGGATCTCACCAAAAATCTCCCTTAAGGTTAAAGGATTTGGAGGGGTCATCTTCTGTTAATAAATTGTTACCGGGGAAAGATTAGACAGTTAAAAGCTAATCTAACTCCTGGGTAAGTGTTAAGCTGATCTTGCAACTTACTGCTCCACCACAACAGAACTTCCCCTGACACCTTACACCTCCCAGGGTCTCCGACAAACCCACCAGCTATCAAATGCCTCGGTTCCAAATTCATTTCACACTCGTTTCACCCCAGAACCCAACACAATTCGCCCACTGGCCAACCCTAACCCTACTGTATACACTCCCCGCTCCCTACCTCCTGCCAACCCTGGCAGAACCCTCCAGGCCTAACACTTTGTTCTTTGGACAGATATCTCTCCATGCCTGAACAACACCCCACTCTACTCACTGTCAGCCATACTTCTTATCAACTGCTCCAACAACCCACACATCCACTGGCTGGCCCTAAGTATCAACCACCACTCCCAGCCATACTCCTCATGTGCTGGCCACAGCATCCCTGCTCAGCACCAAGAAACGCCCCTCACCAGCCCTGACACCTTTCAGATATCTCCAACAAGCCCTCACCATACCCTGCCAACCAGTTCTGACACCTCCTGCTGAACACAGCAAATCCCTTACTTGCTGGTCTCATTGATATCGTCTACTTCCATCACCAACCCAGGTATAATCTCTCTCCCATCCTGACCAATCCTCACAACTGGCACCCATACACTTGACACTTCAACGGTTTCATGATCCATTGTCTGCATGAGGGTACCTCTTGAAAGTTAACTTCAAAAGAAACTTAAAACACTAAAATATATTCTCCACCCATACCAGAATGGCTCCTCAAGCCCCAGTTTATGGTACTTCAGTGCCCATTCAACAACTATGCACTACAAAGAAACAATGAACTTGAAATTGATTGTAGAATGTGTAAAAAAAAAGCTTTCAAAAAATTCAAAGAAAACATGATACTATGCTGAAAGTACCTCTTGCCTACTTCAAAGTAATAAAAAAGTGCCAATCATCCAATAATGCAAAGTTTCAATAGCTGAAACTGCTGGCATTTGAAACTTTCTAACATTATATAAATGAACTTTGTGAAATTGATGACATAGATTAGACAGCAATGCTGACAATCAAGCAGGGACTCACATGTTTCAATACTATTATGGATTTCATTAAGTATTCTTCAGGGATGAGGCATGCACAAAGTGTACTCTTTGACAAGTGGATGTGGGGATTGTTTGGAGGACATGAGGCACCATTGGTGACCATAATGAGTCTGTGGGGGTAAGCAGGAATGGGATGGAAGTTGGCTTTTCTGTTTTCATTCTAACTTGGACAAAGTTCCATAAGACTGAGGCTGGCCTTTTAAACATTCCATCTTCACATCCAGCAATCCCTGTGGATGTCTCAGAATGTTTCCCACGTCAGTTAGTCTGACCATTGTTAGCACCTTCCACCTTCCACCAACATGACCTCACCCCCTCCCATCCCGGGTTCAATGCCATACCTCTAGAATTAGTATTTCCTGAGATGGGAATGTGAAATATGGAAATTTCTTATTTCCGCTACCAACTTCCAGGATAAAACTTTGGCTCCATAAATCTATTCTTTTTTGGGCAAAATGGCCAATCTGGACAATAGTACAGTATTTACATTACATGCCAGGTTAAAGACATAAATTGATGCAGAAATTATATTTAATATCCATCATTATAATGCTCAAATCTTCCAGTGCTGTCATGCAAAATAATAACAAAATGCAGTATGCATGTATTCTTAAAAACTCTGTTTATTACTAAATTAGGGTTCTGCCATATCATCTCGAAAGCAGTTTCTGGATATGCATTTACCAGGCGATAAACTGGGGCTTCATGTCAGAGGTGGATTTATATTCCCAACACAGCAACCAGCAAACACTACCTTTTTTAGGCAAGTACAGCCAGATTCATATTTAACTTTTCTGAAGTTAAACACACTTATGTTAAACTATTATAGATAATGAAAATGTTGCTGAATTGCATCAAATAAATATTTTATTCTTATACATAGTCGGAAGAACCCACTGGGTCTCCTCGTTGCCCTTGATGAACAAGGGAAGGCTAGTGGAGAATTATTCTGGGATGATGGAGAATCGAAAGGTATTGTTTTAATTACTACAGCAGTCCAAAGCTGCTTTAAATACTGGATATCCACTAAACAACACTCTACATGTCAGATCAGAAAAATCATTTTCCTCAGAATATTTATTTGCTATAAAAGGTGGAGATTGTTGCCAATTATATCTCTGTTAGTCTCTGATCAAGATAATTGTCCAAGCCACATACTTTATTTCTGAACTCAGACTATCATTTCAAAGGAAGCATTAAATCTGGTTAGCACATGGTTGGTAAGCTAATTCAACATTTATAATCAAGCAGTTATATTGCCTGTAGGGGTGATCTGTTGTTCTTAATTCTCAGTCCTAAATGCTTTTAAATGTATTGCCTCATATATAGATAGCTGTGACTGGTGATTCTGATGCAGTGCTGCTGAATAATAAATTGCACTGATTTTGCCTTTCAGATACATACAAAGAGGGAGTTTATACTGCCTATCAATTTACAGTTGCAGAGGTTAGCTTTTTCCACATTGGTTCAATTATTTATCTGTTATGGCATTACAAAATGTATTGCTCAATTTGTACTGGAGCACATTTCTCAATTGTTGGTTGAGATGCTTTACAGAAGTAACTATCTATCCCTTTAAACTTCATAAATACTATGCTTTGTCAAAACAAACTGCTTTCAGATCTGTTTCCAAAGGTTTGGGATGTGTTCATTCTCCAATCCATAGAAATTTTAAAATAGGACAGCGTACCAAAGTATATACTCAAATGTCATTTTTCATCATTTCAATGGAATTCTTAGAGGATGTGTTAATTCATTTAAAATGACCAAATTAATTTCCTTATTAAAGTTGCATTAAAAATAATTTAAATAGGCCATTCAGCATTTGCAGTGTCATAGTAATTTTTGGGTTCAAACTTGGCGTGTCTCATTTTATTTGGTGTTGTCTCATGCTATTTAATATATCCATCAGAGAGTTATCAGCCAAGTATGGTACCAAGAAGCACTTCAAAGCTAACTTCAGTGAGACAAACAAACAGAAAACTCTCTAATGACTGAAACCAAACCTTTTACATCAGGCAATGCTATGTTTATCAGAGACCGGCCAGCACAGTCCCAGGGCATCACTCCATGATTTCCTCAGCCCATCTGTTTTCTTTATCTTCTTCAATTAATTTCTTCTATGCAAGGGACTATTTCCATGTTGGGAGTATATTAGTTAATGAAGAGGAGGAAATTAATCAAGGATGAAAATTACAGGAGCAAGAGAAGTTTGCATGAATTATAGAATAGTAATGCCAGAGAATTTGAAGTATTCTGAGACAAAAAAAATTGTGATCACTAAAGACAAAGATTGTAAGAGTGCATCCAAAAACTTTGCTACATCAATATATTACATGCAAAATAATCCAGCATTTGATCTAGTTCCAAATAATGAAGGAAGACAAATAATTTACTTCAAGGTAGGAGAACAGTTAGATAATTGCAATAATGAGCTTAGAAAGTTCACATAAAAAAATGTCAATTAAAAATAGTGCAATATAAAAGTCTTGGACTGGAAATTATCTTACTGCCGTGAGATGTGTATGGGCAAACCAAAATTTAATCCAGGGTTAATCTGAAGCTTTTTGCAGTTGAGTGTGACATAGTTCTAATTTTACATTGCATGTTGGCAATGTGACCGACTCAAGTGTAAGTATTAGTCAATACCATTCAGAAGAGCTGGTGTGAGGGAGGTGTTGTACATGGGTCTAAAAGGTTTAATATTTGATCAGTTGCAGTTAAGTACTATCCAATCTGATGATGTCATGGGGACTTGGTTGAAGTAACAAAGGAGTTGGTAGAAGACAGATCATCACCTTTTCTTTCTGCCTCTGAGCAAATTCTTTGTCCATACTGTGGTGTGTGCATTTTTTTTTCCTGTATCTGTTCCCAGATGTAAGAGGTATTCTTACAAGCTCCTTCTAGGCATGCTGCCCTGTTATTTTGTGGAAAGGATGCTCAGAAGAGTTGAGCATCTTCCTCATGTCTGTCAACTATATCTCCTCTGATCTTGCTTCCATGTTACGGTGTCTATACTTTCAAACTGCATCTAATACTTATTCTCTCCATATCACCTTTACAAAAAAAATACTAGATTTCTATCTTTAAAAAGGCTGCAACATTTTTATTTCCATACAAAACATCACTTAACTTTAAGTGGTAGCATACTTTATATGGTAGCACCTGCATCCTCTCAATCCTGAAAGCTTACCTTCATTAAATTTCCCAAATAAGGCTCAAAATAAACTGGTAGGTAGCCAGCTTCAATAGTATGTATATTTTTGGCCTTGTCAGATTCACCAAGGCAAATTAATCGCTATGATGTTGTCATTTTTGGACCTTCACCATTGTCATGTCATTTTGGATATTAAAAGAATCAGTTCAAGCTATAACAAAAAAAAGTGTCAACCTTTTATTGTAAGACTCAAAATAATTAAATGTCCTTCATTTGTCCCTCTAAGTGGCAAATTATGCTATCAAATTTCTAATCCTCATAGTGTGTGGAGGATTGATTTGTTTTTACGTTGGTATTTATTGGACTATTTGGTGGGAAAGAATAGAGAGAAAGTTTGGATAGAAGATCAGATTATTATATTTATCTGTATTTCTGAAAGCAACAATTTGCAATGAATATGAAACAATCTCTTTATAGTCAATGGAGCTTTGTCAATTCTAAATAACCTTTTAACAACATGTGAGACATTAACGAGCAACTAGCAACAAATTTTGTTGTCACTGAAGTGTGAATCTATCCTTCTGATGTGGGGATTTTAAAAACGAAAGATCTTCCTTTCTATTGAAATATTTTCTGTCCATCTTTCCTCTTTCCCTTAATCCAATCTTTGTTTTCCTCTCTATTTTGCTTTGTCTACCTGATTTTACATGGAATTTACCTGCTCCAATTGACACTTCTGTCATGGTCCTAGCACTGTCTTTATTTCATAAACCTTCAGTGTGATTGGTTAAAGGGATGGTTAGAACTGCATAACTAACTTGTGAGTGCGCAGCTGGAGCACAGTTACAACCAGCATGTTACAGGATGGATGTGATTACACTAGAGGTTACAAAGGAGATTTATGTAGATATTGCCAGGTCAATGAAGATAATTTGGGTAGGTTAGGATTATTTTCTTTGGAATAAAGGAGGCTAAAATGAGATTAATTTGGGTTATACATAATTTTGAGGGCCTAGAAAGAGATGATAGTTAGGAAGGGTCACCCTTAACAAAGAGATCAATAACCAAGAGGCATACATTTAAAATTGGAATTGGAATTCCTGGTCAGAAATGTGGAACTGCAGAAAAACAGGAGTGGAACAGCAATCAGATGGTGACTGTCACTTTGTAGCAAACTTGACCATTATCAGAATTGATGCTAGGGATAGAAGCACTCATGCCATTAAAACAAAAATAACTTGGTTCTGCATTTGAAGTATTATAACTTAGAGAGCTAGAGATCACATACTGTAAAGTGACACAAGGCTGTAAGTATTAAAACAGAAACTGCTGGAAGCATTCAGCAGGTTATGGTGGCATTTATGAGTGAAATGTAATTAGAGTTTCAGGTCTGTGACCTTTCCTCAGATCTGGAAAAGTTTAGAGATGTAATAAGTGTTGAGGAAGGGGTAGATGGGATAATGGCAAAAAGATGTTCTGCACTAGGGTGAAATTCAGGAGAGATTTTAAGTTAGTTTTCCAGTTCTAACTTGAATGGACGGAAAGGGAAAAAGTAACAAAAAGCAAACATGTGCCTAGAACAGGTTTGCTGTTGAATGGATTTAAAAAAAAACACAAGCAAAGGAAAAGGAACAAAATGGAGCAGAGATCATGGTCTCAAATTGATTAACTCGGTATGATTGCAGAAATGATAGACATATGAAGAGGGGCTGGATCAATTAGGACTCTATTCACTGGAGTTTAGAGGAATGAGGGAAGAATCTCATAGAAACCTATAAACTTCTAATCAGGTTGTACAGTGTATTCACAGGAAGGATATTACCAGTTGCTGGAAAGTCCAGACTGGGGGTCATAGGCTAAGGATGTGAGACAGGCTATTGGAATGAGATGACGAGATATCTACTCATTCAGAATGGTGAGCCTATAAAATTCTCTGCCACAGAAAGCAGTTGAGGCCAAACTATGTAATATTTTCAAGAAGAAATTAGATATAAGTTCTTAGGTCAAAAGGAATCAAAGGGTATTGAGAGAAAGCAGAAATGGGGTACTGAGTTGGATGATAAGTCATGATCATATAGACTGAGTGGTCTCTTGCTCCTGTTTTATATATTGCTATGTCTCTACACTTCTAACAGGCCTCTTCTTACAATCAAGCCCATCCAATCCTTTCTCATTGCTCAGGCCTTCCTGCTCAGGCTGGTGAATCTCCTTTGCACCGTCTCTAGAGCGACCACATTCTTTCTATGATGTGGTGACCAGAATTGCATTCAGTATTCCAGTTACGGCCTGAATACCTGCTTTAAACATATTTCCTCCCTATTGATTTTTTTCAGTAATCAAGTTCATTTCTTTGTGCAGCCAACATATACACAAGACCTAGATATGACATAATGCAGACCAATATTTGAATGATTAGTTTCAACTCTTCCAGGGAAATGAAACATGGAATTGATTTTGTATGTTTTTATTCTCTTTTAGAATGTTTTGGATATCATAGTCGTAAAACGAGGATACATTGACCCAAACAACCTTAAATTTGGAGAAATAAAAGTCTTTGGCATGAATAATGCTCCGCTTTCCGTCATTGTGAAACATGGCCAGAATGTCACAATTTTATTACCAGAAAATATCATTTATAATGCCACCACTAAGGTAATGGAAACGTTCTAACATTCTCAATAGCTCTTGCTAAAATTTGTTGTTCTCTAACTGTACCATTCTGTGCTACTTTGTCAGAACAGTTGAATTTTCTTTTGCCTTTAGCAATGCAATGTCAAAAATGATGTTAAATATGTCCTGTTTGCAGCAGAGGTTATTTGTTCCGGAGTTAACTTTGTTCTCAAAATTTGAAGATAATGTATGCAGAGTGAGAATTAAGTAAGATTAGACTGTTTTGTAGGGCAAGGTTGATAACATTAAGATGATTTTAAAGATTATGATCTGTATAAGTGACACTTGTTTGTTGCAAAGCAAATTCTCAGAGTTTGTTGCTGTTCATGTTAGAATATGATAAAGTAGACAAAGACATGTATCTGCCTATATGTTGTGTTTGAACAATTTGGATTTTCCTGTATAATTAAGTCTTTTGTCTTTCTCAGACCATACTCCACTTTGACACATGAACCTGGCATGTACACTCACCACAATCTTTCATAAAATTCTTTGAGCTGACAATGAAATAATGTCTTTATCAATTAAATGGATTAGTACATTAGGTATTCCACTGTAACAGGGATTCCTGCTACAAAAGCACTGGAATTCCAGGCTATGTACGTGCTCCAGAGACAGATTCGTTTGAAGTTCGGTGGCAAGTATTTTCGGGGCAACTGGATCACTAGTATTCAACAAGTGAAAAACATTTTTGTGGTCAGTGGTACCATAGAAAGGAGAAAGTAATTGAAACATTACAACTAATTTTAAGTTCACATGATTAATTGTATTATTCAGGAAAATAGACTTCTCATACACAAGAGAAGCACTAGATACTGAATGAAGGTCATTATTTACACCATTATTTAGAATTATGATTTAAAAGGGATCATTTTCATTGGAAGTCATAATTGACCTGTCCAATAAATGTGTTTTTCTCTGCATAGGTTGCTTATTTTACTGGTCTTCAACTAGAACTAGGAGAATCATATTCAGTAGAATGGAATTCTTCAATAAGGATTGACTGTCACCCTGAAGTAAATGCAAATGAAGCTGCTTGTAAAAAGCGGGGTTGTATATGGGAAGTAAGTAATCCACGGACAGAAAATTAATTTGAGACAAACATTTATTTTATGTGATATATTGACATGAATCTTAGTGTGTACATATATAAAAATTACCTTAAGATGCAGATTTGTGCTTTGCAGTATCAGTTTGTAAGAGGTGTGGGGGGTGATTTTTGATCATCACTTACATTTCAGGCAGCTCAAATATGGCATGCAATTTTATTTTATTATCAGCTGGATGAATGCCTCCACTTGAGCTCCATGTACGTATGCAAAGAGTTGCAGAGTTGAACCTGCAGCTACCTGAGCATCTTCAGACCATTATCACTCCAGGGTTTGCAGACTCATGGCGATAAAAATAGTTTACCATCTTCAGTATCCAATAATGATTACTGGTATATGGATTTTTTAAAGGAATATTTAGAATTCCATTATCAGTGGCAGACATGCTCCCAATTATAAGTTGCCACCATAATAGAAGCAGGAAAATCCAACAACGTTCATGAGACAGGGTCTATTCAAACTTTCACTGTATTACCATATTATTAGTGGATTATCTGGCCAATTAGCTTGAGCAAACCTGATAAGGAAGCAAATGGGTTCATTTCAGCCCACTACTTAAAGGTCAGACATGAAATTTGATGGATTTTGAAGTTGAAAACAATGAAGAAGAATTTGATAGTATGGGGTCCACACATTTATAGGCTTGCACCACATTTTAGACATGCATGCTGATTTAAATCCTTCTAGATTTTTCTACTCTTTGTTCTTTGGATTTCTGCAAGGCTAGTATGCTGCTAGATCTCAATGCACAGCTACTGCTATCAGCCGAACATTAGCAATGGCTGCGCTTGAGAGATTTTCTGCTACTTTGTCAGCTATTTTGAACATTGTTTAATTGACTGTCATTGGATATCTGACATGGGCAATGAGCATACAGGGCAGAAAAATTCATGGTTGGAGGCATACCTTAAATGTTTGTGGGCAGTAGGTCATTGGTGGACAAAGGAGTCAAATGGAGTAAAAGATCTTTCCGAACAGGAGAGAAACTAATACTTTGAATTTTGCTTACTGCTAGAAAAAAAACACAATGATTTGTGAGATCCTTCACATATGCCTGGACTCTCTCTGCCATCACACTCTGCCCTCGAACAGCTGTGCTGGTGAAGAGACTGTCAGACATCTCCGACTGGAATGAGCCTTTGCAAAGAAGATCTGGAGACAGATGCAGTGGTTTTTATTGAGTTTTGTCTCAAGTGGCTCTGTGATGTAGGACTCTATGCCCTATGGTCTATTCTTCAGAAATCACACCAAGACCAACATCGGCTGTGCCTGGAGAACCATCAACTCAATGGAAAACTCTCTTTGGTCTGCCCAAGATAGGTTGGCCTTCCAGTGCAAAGAGTTGATCTCAACAGAGTGAAAACCAAAAGAACTGCGAATGCTGTAAATCAGGAACAAAAACAGAAGTTGCTGGAAAAACTCAGCAGGTCTGGCAGCATCCGTGAAGAAAAAATCAGAGTTAACATTCAGGTCCGGTGACCCTTCATCAGAACTAATAGTAGCTGGGAAAACATCGATTTATATGCAGAAGATAGGGAGGGGGATGATATAGGGAGTAAATGATAGGATAAAGGATAGAGCCCAAAGAGAGAGAAAAGCAGCTGGATAGACAAAGGAGTTGATAACTCCTGCCTAGGAGGGTGAATAGCTGTTAATGGGGACTGTTAGTGACTAACAATAGGTGGCAGCTCCTCCGTTTCTGTCGCAAATGTTCAGATGAGGCCAACTTCTACAAGGGAGCCTCCAAAATGTCCACCTTTTTCCTCAACCAAGGATTCCCGAGTACCGCTGTCGAAAGGGCCCTCGACGAGATCCGACACATCTCCTGCACTTCCGCCCTCACACCCTGTCTTCCCTCCCGCAACAGCGATAGGGTTCCCCTTGACCTTACCTATCATCCCACCAGTATCCACATCCAGAAGATCATCAGGCACCATTTCTGCCACCTCCAGTGAGATGCTACCACCAGACACAATTTCCCCTCCCCTCCCTTTCCGCCTTCCTCTGGGACTGTTCCTTCTGGGACACCTGGGTTCACTCTTCCTTTAACCCCACAGCCCTACGGCACCTTCCCCTGTAACCGGCGAAGGTGCAACACCTGCCGATTTACCTCCTCCCTCCCACTATCCAAGGGCCCAAACATACCTTCTAGGTGAAGCAACACTTCACCTGCACTTCCCAGAATCTAATCTACTACATTCATTGCTCAAAATGTGGTCTCCTCTACTTTGGGGAAATGAAGCGTAGACTGGGTGACCGCTTTGCAGAACATCTACTTGCTGCTCGCAAGAAAGACCCTGAACTTCCAGTTGCCTGCCACTTTATCACACCACCCTGTTCCCTGGCCAACATCTCTGTCTCTGCTTGCTGCAGTGTTCCAGCAAAGCTCAGCGCAAGCTGGAAGAACAGCACCTCATTTTCCGCTTGGGGACCCTGCAGCACTCCAGACTCAATATCGATTTCAATAATTTTAGGGCCTAAACTCTCCCATGTCCTAGCCCCTTACCCCACACACCAGGCCTTGTTATCATCTTGTCTGCCATAACACACTACCTATTGTTAGTCACTAACAGACCCCATTAACAGCTATTCGCCCTTCTGGCCTGAACGTTATCATTTCTGAAGAAGGGTCTAGGCCCAAAACGTCAGCTTTTCTGCTCCTCTGATGCTGCTTGGCCTGCTGTGTTCATCCAGCTCTACACCTTGTTATCTCAGATTCTCCAGCATCTGCAGTTCCTACTATCTCCGTTATCAACTCCTTTGTCTATCCAACTGCTCTTCTCTCTCTTCGGGCTCTATCCTTTATACTATTGTTTACTGTCTACTCGATCCCCCTCCCAATTTTCTGCTTATAAACTGACATTTTCCCAGCTACCATCAATTCTGAGGAAGGGTCACTGGACCCAAAACGTTAATTCTGACTTTTCTTCACAGATGCTGCCAGACCTGCTGAGCTTTTCCAGAAACTTCTGTTTTTGATCTCAACAGAGTGTTGCAGACTGGCACATTCCATGGTCCAGGATTACGTGCTGAGGGACAAACTAAAGCTTGGGGCAGCCCTGCCAAGGCACAGATGGAGAGACCACCTTTCTGCCAAAGTACCGTGGGAGTTTGTCAGTTATCAGACCCTCATGGTGCCTCAAGTGCTTGTAAATATTGTCCTGTATAAGTAAGAAATGCCTTGGGCTTTTTGCAACTTCAGGGAATGCCAAGTTCCTATGGCTGTTTGTTTTTTCATGTGCAAAGAGTGTTGTGAACTGCATCAATAACTGTATATGTGCACAAAGATCTTTATGGATAAAGTATATTTTTGCAATAAAAATGTTCGGTATATTGTGCAAGAATACAAATGGGCACCTTGAATGTAATACAGTACAGAATAGTTAGAAAAATAATCTTCGCCATTCTGACAGAAATGTTCCTTCACTCAGGGTCAGGCAGACTACTAGTGTCACTGGAATATCAATAGACTCACAAATACAAATTAGACACTGAATGAAACAGAATGAAAACAAAATGGAAAAAACCAGACTATTAACTTGCACCACAAACTTAAACATTTTGAAACAAGCTGTGAAATATAATCCTATTAATTCCAAAAAACACTGTTTTACAGATTCTAAAACACGACTGTGCCTCATCCAAGATCATTCTTTTTAAAGCAGTCATCCAGAAAAATCTCTTCTTCTTATGGCTTGATGGGTCTCTGTCTGGAAAATGTTATAGCTTATTCCTGAAGCAATCATTCACCTAAGCTTAAATGTTCTTGCCCTCAAGTTACCTCTTCAGGATTTTATCTGAACACTTCTAACGCAGAACTTTCACTAACCTTTACTCTAAGCTAATCTAATATTAACAAATTGAATTGTCTTCACCCTTCCTCAGGAATAACTTTACACATGAAAACTTATGCAAAACTGCCAAAAATTGAAAATAAAACTAAATAAAACCTCTATCTAAACTATAGGTGTTCACCGTAAGCAAAAAAAATCAGAAATTCCTAACTGAAATATTGAGGCACATTTGCTTAGTTACTGGGCCTTAATCCCTCCTAAGATAAATGAAAACCCAATAGTTCTGAAATCTAGCTTTCTCAAACTGCTCTTAAAAATCACCATGGCTACAGGAACACTCACATGTTAATTATGAATTCCCTCGGACTCAGAAAACCCCATATGTCATTATGTCAAAATCCAAACTTACCATAAATTATGTTAAATATGTATGTGTATATAAAACCATACAGTCTACATCACAGTAAAAGAAAATTTAAGGCTCAGAGGTTGTCAGAATAGGATAGTGTGAAGCTATGAAGAGATTTGAAGGAAGGAGAAAAGTTTTAAAGATGATGCATTGATGAATCTGGTGTTAATCATTGAGGGGATTGTTTGGAACAGACATTAATACCAAACAGATTAAAAGCTGCTATTTTTAGCACTTGTTAAAGTCAATGAAGAATGGTAGATGAGAAATTCAACAGAAGGTAATTAGAATAATTGAAGCAAGAGACAATAAAAACTGTGAATAAGGATATCAGCAAAAATGTTATGAAGGTAGAAATTAGCGATCATTCTGAAGGACAGGGCATGAGAATTGGAACTTGGTTCTGGTTTAATGCATGTTCCAAGGTTTTGGATTGTCTTTTTAATCTTACTCCACATCTGTTGACAAATATTTAAATGCATTAATTTAAATAAACTTGTATATTTTTCCTCATTTGTATGTTATGAAACCTGGGTTTCTCTCTTTGCAGAGCAGTTCCACACCTTCTGAACCGTACTGTTTTTACGAGAAAGACTATGGTTATCTCCTGAACACAGACAAAAGAATTATAGTAACAGAACGTGGGATGAGAGCCGAAATTATGAGGAATAAAGCATATCCGAAAAGTTACCCAGGCCTAACACCAACTGTGCAAATCCTGCAAGTTGATGTCACATACCTGAGTGACAATATGTTGAATTTTAAGGTAGGATTCTGATGGAAGAATAAAAGTCAAGAAAGCTTGCAAGTTTACAATTAAATAGAAACCACGTTAAATTTATAGTCTGCTCCTGGTAATTCAATGTTGTTCTTCGAGGTACAAATGTTAATTATTCAAATATTCAAATGCAATAATCTAAATAAAAAGTGGAAATTTGGGCTGTCAGCAGGAAGGCCTTATCCACCCAGAAACTTGAGGTAACAATTCTCTTATCTTAGGGTGAGCTAGGAACAAACATAGTAAAGGATAAAAACAGGAACATCTCCCTGTTATTTAGGAGATGCTCAAGAAGATCTGCCACCTGCAGCCTCGTACGAGGTTAAACATGGCATTGGCAGTGACTGCAAAGGTTACCAAGGCCCTAAACCTCTTCATACAGAAGCAGATAGTATGCTAAACATTTCTCAGTTCACCATCTTTTGCAGCATAATGTGGTGACTGATAGGAAAAGGGAGTTAATTATGTTCCTAAAACTAGAGAGAATGAGGAGGAATGTGCACATGGGTTTCTCAGTGCAATGGAGTTTCCTATGGTGCTGGGTGCCATGGACTGCAGAGATGTATTTTGCAGGTATGAAAACATTTAATATTCTGAAAAATTTAAAAGCCTTAAAAGCCTTGCCGTTTCAACCTCACCTGCCAATTTGAACAAATTACATCTAATCAGCCGAACTCACCCAGATGCCAGCTTAGGACTCCTCAGTCAAGGCTCATCCGCTCCAATCACTTTTCTTTATTTCTCCTTCCTTGTTTCTTTCTTCTTCTCCTTTCCTTCACTTACCTCTTGTTCTGAGCTTGGACGGCAATGGCAATGGCTCGGAATCCCAGCGTGGACCTCGTGGCGGCAGTGAGTAGGCACTTACTTACTTTTCTGGAGTGTAGACTGAACCTAGCTTTGAAATTGGTGGCTGCTACATTGGCAGAGGCTATGTCGGTGAGGTCGGCCCAGCAACGAAAGATGGCGCCTGAGGATCAGTAACTTCGCCAATGGTTGGGTCCAGCACTGGCAGCAGTGACACTGTGGCAGGAGGGCATCACAGTGTCATTGACAAGATGGGCGATATACGCATCTCTGACATGGGTGGGTCCGTAGGCGAAAGAGAATTGGCCCTGTGGTGAAAGATGGTGCCTGAAGAGTGATGGCTTCAGTATTGATTGGGTCCGGAGTAGATAGCAGCGAGGCAGTGGAGGAGGGATGGCAGCATAGGTGTCGTCGAAGATGAGCTGGCTCAGGACTGATGGGCTCTCTTTAAACTGTATCTTTTTTTTTCTAATTCTTAGAACCATTCAAAATGGCACTGGATCGTGGTGACGGTGAAAAAGATTTTTATTGTAGTTTACTGCTTTTCTCACTGTAAAGTGAGACAGTAATGTAGGATTTTTTTTTCCTGAACAACAAAGCATGTCACAATTAAGTTTGCTAAGATGATATTTGTTAACTGCTCGAATTTAATGATATTAATGACAAAACTTAATTTTTCTCCAGATTTTTGACCCAAAGGCAAAACGATTTGAGGTTCCAGTCCAACTGAACATCCCCAAAGGGACAAAAGGTGATAATTCTACAAGACTTTATGAGGTTCAATTTACGAATTTTCCATTTGGGATCCAGGTCAAAAGGAAGAGTACAGGTGTAATGATGTGAGTAGTAGGTTTTTGGATTATATTTTGTTTCTGATTTTATAGCCAGTACTGATAATAACTTTCAAATTCTCCCACACAAAGGGAGATAAATAGTAATGAGGTACAAGTAATCAATGTAACACCAGAACATAGTGGAACTTGATTATAGCAGATGATCCTTCTAATAAAATAAGTCATAGCTAACAAAGTAATTAACTAAATCCACAACGGCTAACTCTAGCTTTATAGAACTAATTGATTTTTTTGAGTGGATCTACTGGCTTCAATATTATTGAATACTGTTTACAAAGAAGCAATGCTTTCAGTGATACTTTTAACATAAACTTTTGAAAGTCAATATAATCATCGGAGATTTTCAGTTCAGCCATAAAATTATCTTATTTTTTTACCACACCTGAGTAATTTGTTATTGTTTTCCTTGGGAATTTGTCTTTGAACACTTTGAGAATGTTTTTAAAATTATCAGAAGTCTCTAAGAAAATGTAATGCCCTGTTACTTATCTTGCTGCATTAGAAAAACAATCTAAAATAAACAAAAAAATCTATTAGCCATGCACAAGACCCAATTATTCTAAAATCAGGACTCAAAAACTGTTGTAAAATAAATCACCATGGTTACAGAAATACTTAAGTTAATTATTAACTAGAGACACAGAAAATCCATTGATTACTAACTCAGAAACCAAACATATAACAAATGGTCAATATAATAATGTATATAATCCCAGTTTGTTTTCACAAAGGAGCCCTTTTATCCAGGCTTTATTGAGTTAACAAAGTGTGAATTTATTAATTAGTAAATGCAAGAAGTATTAGTATTCTATAATAGAGGAGTTTGAAAAGGTAAGAGTTGAAGAAGCCATTGTACTGCTCAGTCTCTGAACTGTTTCACAAAGAACTGATCATTAAAAGTTATTGCCCTGGCACTGAAGGTTACCGGTAGCATTGATGCTGGTAGTGTCATGATCCCTAATTGTTCAGATTTATTGAGATTCTGTACTTCTGGTTCTTTTCGATCATCGCTGTTTATAAAAAAAAAGATTTCCGAATTACAACTTAAAATTGCTCTCAGAACTTTGAGTTTCCGAACTGTTGTCATGACAGAATGCACCTGTAAAATCTTTTGAAACATTTTATTACAAAAATGGAATTTACTGTTGCTATTATCACAAAACTGCCTTAATTACAATAGTAAAATGTTCATCCAAACACTGAGAATATTGAAAACACTGTCTTTGGTGTCAATTTCAAAATATGTACCCTGAGAACCAATGTCCTTATCTTGACTGCTATCTCAGGTTGAATGATACTGTCTGTACTCTCCTGATTAACTTCAAATGAGCTCTGATATATCTCTTCTCTATTGTAAAGACACAGTACTGTGTCTCTATAAATTGCCTTTCCTGCCTCTGCCATTTTGCTGTTGAAACCTCATCCATAAGCTGGTTGATCAGAGTTCAGGACTAGCATGTTTCTGTGAGAATGAAAGATAAGGACGGCAAGTTTCTGGAACCCTGGATGACAAGAGATATTGAACATTTCATCAAAAAGGAAAAAAAGAAGAAGCATTTGAAACATTTAGAAACTTAAAATCAGACAAGGTGCATGAGGAATAACAAAAAAGCAGGAAAGAAACAATGACTTAGGAAGGCTAAAAGGGGCCATGAATGTCCCTGACAAGTGGGATTAAAGGGAATCCCAAGGCATTTGTACGTATATTAGGAGCAAAAGGGTAGCTAGAGAAAAATTAATGTCCACTTAAGGACAAAGGAAGGAATTTATGCTGGGAGCCAGAGGAAGTGGGTGAGGTCCTGAGTAAGTACTTCATATTGGTATTCACCAAAGAGAACAACATGGATGATGGTAAGGTTAGGGAGGAGTATGTTGATATTCTACGGCATGACGATATTAAGAAGGAGGTGTTGAATTTCTCGAAAAACTTAAAGGTAGATAATCTCATTATGCCCTATTTGTATTTTGAGAAGAACCATGTTATTAGGGATAGTCAGCATGGTTTTGTGCATGAGAGGCCTTGTCTTACAAATTTGATGTAGTTTTCTGAAGAAGTGATGAAGATAATTGATGAGGGTAGAGCAGTGGATGTTGTCTACATTGACTTTCCTAAAGCATTTGACAAGGTCCCTCAAGATAGGCTGGTCCAGAATATTAGGTCATATGGGACCCATGGTTAGTTGGTAAGTTAGATACAAAATTGGCTTGGTCATCGAAGACAGAGGGTAGTTGTGGAGCGATGTTTTTTTCTGATTGGAGGTTAGTGACCAGTAGTGTTCTTCAAGGATCAGTGGTAGGATGTCTGTTGTTTGTAATATATATCAATGATTTGGATGAAAATATAGGTGGTCTGATTAGTATGATTGCAGAAAACACAGAAACTGGAGGGGCTGTGAATAGTGAGGAAAGTGTTAAAGGATACATCAAGATATAGGTTAGTTTCAAAGTTGAGTGGAAAAGTGGCAGATGGGGAGTTTAATGAGGACAAGTGTGAGGCAATGCATTTTGGGAGATCAAATGCAAAAGGGAAGTACTCTCTCTAACTGCTCTGATATACAGAAGGATCTTGGGATGCAAGTCCATAGCTCCCTGAGAGAGAAAACATAAGTGGATGTGATGGTTGAGAAGGCATGTGGCATGCTTACCTTCATTGGTCTGGGCATTGAGTATAAAGTTAGTAAATCATGTTGCAGCCGAAGAAACTTTAGGCTACGTTTAGAGTATCGTGTATAGTTCTGGTCACCACACTGTAGAAAGGATGTAGAGGCTTTGAAGAGGGTACAAAATAGGTTAACCACAATGTTGGTGGATTGGAGTATATTAGCTCTAAGGAGATCTTGGACAAACTTGGATTGTTTTTGCTAGAGTGTCAGGCTGAGGGGGCAACCTGATAGTAGTATATAAAATAATGAGAGGCAGGGATAGGGTGGATAGTCACAGTCATTTTCCCAGGGTGGAAGTGTCAAATGCCACAGGCCTTTGGCTTAAGGTGAGAGGGGGAAAGTTCAAAGGAGATGTGCAAGGTCTTTTACCTAGAGGGTTACCTACATTCCAGGAAGGTGCCTGGAATGCACTGCCAGGGTAGAAGCAGATATGATAGCAACATTTAAGAGGCATTTAGACAGACACATGAACAGGCAGGGGATTGAGGGATATGGACCATGTGCAAGCAGATGGGATTAGTTTAGAATGACTTCATGGTCAGTACAGACACGGTGGGCCAAAAAGCCTGTTATTATACCACGTTGTTTTATGTTTGTCATAGATTTGTTTTCTCCAGGCTTGGTTATTCCAAGTTCCTCCTGGCTGGCCCCTCCCTCCAGCTTCCATGTCAAAACTTATTCAAAATTCTACTGCTTATGCTATCCAAAGTCCCACTTTTATGTCCTGTGTTCAATGATTTACATCTCAAGCCCCAATACCTCAACTCCAGAATTATTTTCCTTACATTTAAGTATTTTCATGATCTCTCCCAATGTCATTTTTCTCACCACTATAACTCTGGAATCTCTGGAATTTCTGGTATAATCTCTGGAAATTCTTCTTAAATTTGTCTGCCGTTAAGGCCCTCTTTAAAACATTGCCTCTTAACCTTGAGCTTTATCTGCTTACTCTGTTCTGAAGTGAAAGTGTATTCAATTGCTCGAGGTTGTTGCTGTAATTGTTGTATCATTATATACTTTATACATATTCAAAACCTTTTTTCTATGCTATTCCAATATTCTCTGTAAACTTTGGCATGAATTTTCAAATGCATTCATTAATCTCTGGTTAGCTGTCCATAATTATTAATAGATACTGGTAGTTAAGCCACGCAGATGCAATATTCCCTTTGTGCCAGAAGCAAGAATCTCACCCACAACTAGTGGAAACTAGAAAATTGTACAGTGCAGCCTTAATTTTTGACAAATACTAATTGAGACGAGGTGAAATACTACTGACATGGACTCAGAGTAGTGACCTGTAATTGTCTAACATAACACATTCGAAATAATTAGCTCTTTTCTTCTACAATAGATATACTACAACAAACTCCTACTGTGTTAGCATCTAATTGCATGATTTCATCACATTAAATTGCTTTGGATTAAGCAAACTGTTAATTTCTCTTTCCCAACTTATAAATTAATATCGTCTTTTGCGTGAATGCTTAAGAATTTGGACTTGGTAATAGCAGTCTAAACTAGACTAGAACCCTGTTAGACATTGACATTTTCATGAATTCCAAAATGCTAAAAATTCCATTCTTCTTTACTTTTGCAGTTGGAATTCCCAATTGCCTGGCTTAACATTTACTGACCAATTTATACAAATTTCAACCCACCTCCCTTCAAAATATATTTATGGCTTTGGAGAAACTGAGCATCAAAGTTTCAAACACGATCTGAACTGGAATACTTGGGGAATGTTTGCCAAAGATCAGCCACCTGGTGTAAGTTTAAAACTTATTTCCTTAGCTGTGCTTATTGTGTTTTATTACTAACATCAAGTGCTGTGAAAAATTGAATTACCCTAGCTACGCATCAATGCTGGGATTCAATGTTGTAAGTCAAAGTGATTACAATTGCACAAAGTTTTACAGTGAAGAACAACAGAGCCCATTCACACATAAATCACAGAGCCTTGATTTACTGTAACCCTTTATCTTTGCTATTCAGGACTGTTGTCTTCAAAATTGTAAAGCAAATGACTGAATATTCCTGTTTGATGGTAGTATGCAGGTTCATACAGGAGTAGCAACCTCCATTCTATTCGAGGATTGTTTATGCCAGAGCAATGATCTCTACTCTGATGTCGGCATCCTAGACTAGAATGCTGAACATCGTTGACTTAAAGTAAACTGATATTTATTTGCATTTTCACAAATGGAGTTAGATTGCACAATGCGAGAAATTATTTTTATCAGATGATTCAAATGAAACTCCATTATCTTTTATTGTAAACCAAATATTTTAAATAAATTTCATATGGGCAATCTAGGTCAAAGTAAAGGTGCTTGACTTGTCTATTTTAAGATAACATCTCCACTAAAACAGTTGACAAAGAAATATCAACCAGGGAGTTAATTATTCATCAGTTTATGTTGCCAATGGTAATAGAGTGCACTGTAAAAACCAATTTAAAAAGTGATTTGTAAATACAAGAATTTTTTTTCAATTGATAACACCTAAAAAAGGCAATAGTAGCATAACAAATACAGCTGCAGGTAAAATTGTTGGCTCAATTCCCCTCTTCCTCCATCATATGTGTGTCATGCCTAATTGCAAATGAAAAGCACAATTACAGATTTTTGTCTGTGTGTAATTTTCAATCCACTATTTTGAAATTTACTTTTCTTAGTTATTTTTAAGTTACCTTTGTTAGCTTTATTACCAATATTTTTGTACTTAGGTGGGGCAGAATTCTTTTTGCCCTCAGACATAATCACAACGCAAAGATGATTATGAGGTTGTTAATGAAATGTGACACTTTAGCACCTTACACTGTATTCCTAAGCAACAGCATTGATGTTACATTCTTTCAGAATGTATTGAAGGTGACTACTTTGAGGACATTTTAAAATGGAGTAGATGGCAAATCGAATTGGTAGAAGGAGAAGAGACAAACATTAATGTTATCAATCCTGGAAAATTGAAGACAATGAACAATTTGGGTTCAAAAGAATGCAGAAATGTTTAAGAAAATGAATGGCATATAGATTTTAACAGTGAAAATAAATGAAGTTTATATGAAAAGTGTGATTTTAGATTTTAGATAATACTAGAGACAGCAGTGACTGAGCTGATGAATATACAGCAACAAAAATGTTACATCTAATCTCAGATCTGAAACACACTGACGTTAGGAAACATCAACTTAACACCCACCCTCACACATTCGTGGAAACATAATAAATTGTTCTGGATTGGTTATTGGAAACATTCCTCTGAGAATGTAAAGTCATTTCTTGTTTAAAGTGGCAGTGATCTACATCCTTCTCAGGTCACAGAAAGACAGTGAGCGATGAGCTATGATGATCAGTGCGTGCAAAAAGAATGTGATTCATCTGTAGATCTCAGATGGCATTATCCACTAATAGAATCTCATGCTTGTTGCATTTTGGTTCTCCACACTGGACAACTATAATACCCTGTCTTCACTAAAACAAAACTTTCACTGAATTAAATTTTCTGCTCAGTGAACAAAGGGCAAATAACTTATTAACATAAATATAATTTGATAATAAGAATATCAATGTCCTCAGTGGTAAAGTAGTTGCTACGTAAAGGACATTTACATATTGAAAGAAACTTCATCCGTAATACTTTGATGGATGTTGTTGATTGTCTCTGACAGGAAGAAGCACTCAATTTACACATAGGATAGAATTTTAAATAGAGCATTCTACATCTTTACCACTGGCACAGTAGATTGTTAATGAGACAAATGGATCAAATCAAGAATGTTGGCAATCTGCAATAAACATAAAATGCTAGGAATGCATAGCAGCTATTCAATATCTGAAAAGGAACATGAGTTAATATTTGGATGAATTTTATTAAAATTATTTGAAGGGTTTGCATGAAAAGAGAAAAGGTTCTCATTTGTATTATTTTTGGATGCAGAGAGGATGCGGGGACATATTGTGCATCATAATGATCAATCTAGTGGAACCCAGGAATGGATCGCTACGATTTTGCAGTGGCCCTCAGGCAAACCATGAGTCAGGAGTTAAGAGGTCAAAGGAAATATCAGAGGCCATGGGAATGGGATTTATGAGTCCAAGTGATTGGCTCAAAGACCAGAATGAGGAGGGATTTTGGAGTTAGAAGCGAAGGTCAATATTCGGGCATTCAAAATCTGGGTTGGTAGACAACAAAATCAGTTTAAAGAAGGGTTGCAAGTGAGAGCAGTCACGTTTTTATTCTTCAATTGTCAGTGATTCATTCCTACTGCTTCCAGTATTTGTTCAGATAAATACATTTGAAAAGTTTATCTTTTGATAGCAGGCAGTCCCAATGTCTGGTTTTTCAGCATGCAGATGTTGTTGGCTGCCTCAGGACAAAGCAAACCCTGTTTGTGTATTCAGGTTCAGGCATGGGCTCTGAACACTTATTTTTATCCCCCTTACAACATGTCGGGTGGCATACTTCCAATGAAAAATGCTTACACTCTTGCATATTACAATCTTAATTAAGCTGTTAGTGCTGAAACAACGTCCTCTGTATGATTGAAGTTACTAGTCATTGATTTTAGTTTATCAAAAGTTTATGATTAAGTTTTCAATGTTCTGACTGATGCCATTGTAGATTTTCTTGCCTGATTTTCACTTAATATATGTTTGCAGTATAAAATGAACTGTTATGGGAGCCAACCTTTTTATATGGGTCTTGAAGAAAATTTCAAAGCCCATGGTGTACTATTGTTGAACAGTAATGCAATGGGTAAGTTAAGGTGCCAAATTAAGTGTTTTACTTTCAAAATGTCATGTTAATGATTTTTAAATACTTTTGTTGGCAACAAAGTCCAAAATATAACAGAAGTCTAGTCTAAATTCACTATAACCTTCTTGACCTGTCTGCAGCCATTGAAATGGTTTATCACAGCATCCTCAGTGTATCTCCCCTGTCATCCAGCTGGGTGAAACTGCTCTTGTCTGGTTTTATTCTTATCTATCTAATCTCAACCAGAAAATCACTTGTAGTGGCTTATCTTCCCATTCCACACAATTTCTTCTGATACCCCACAGGGATTTATTCTTCTCTTCCACTTACTTCTTATCTGCCCTTTTGTTACATTGTCCAAAAGCACAGTATTATTTTTCACATACGTGCTGAAGCCACGCTATTCTATCTCCCCAGCACCTCTCTCAACTCCTCCACGGTTGCTAAGTTACCAGACTGTATCACCTAGAACTGGATGATCAGAAATTTCATCAAATTAAATAAACTTTGTTGCCTACCTATTAACTACATCCATTTCATTGACATGGGTCTGCAGTTAAGCTAATCTGTTTACAACCTGGAGACACACTTAAACTTCACATGATTTTCTTACCTCATGTTTGCATCATCAATAATACCACCTATTTATCAGCTTTACCTGCTGCTGAATCCTATGATTGTACTAAAGAAAATCTCATCACTGCATTTGTTACCTCTTGATTCTTCCAGCTTGCTTTTGGCTGATCTCCCACATTCCATCCTCTGTAATCTTCACACAATGCAAAACTCTACCCATAATCCTCTCTATTTCTGTAATCTTCTCTAGCTCCGCAGCCCTTCAAGGCCTCTGGGTTCTCTGATTCTAGCCTTTTGTGCCTTCCAATTTTAATTGCTCCATCTTTAACATCTGTAATTTCATTTGTCTAGGCACCAAGCCTGAAATAGCTTATATGCACCCCCTGCCTCTTTCCAAAGCTGTCCTTCTTTAAGATACTCATCAAAACTTACCTCTTTGACCAAGCTGTTGGTCATTTGACTTGATATTTCTTCAGTGGCACAATATCATATTTTATTTTATGACGCTCCTGTAAATTAAATGTGCTGTAGAAATTTAAGTTGTTATTGACAGAATATCAATTAACTTCTGAGTTTATATCCACATTATAAATGGTATTCAAAAGCACATGCAGACTTTGCATGTTACTAAGAAATCCCAATATTCAAAGAATTAGGCACATTTTATTTAATTAGGTTTTGTGTCCAAAATAAGTAACAGCAAAGATAATCAATATATTAATAAATAATGAATGAAAAATTAGTTTATCTCACCATTCTTCAATTTGTTCTTGGTCTAAAGACCTATCTAGGCCTTGGTGACTATGACTTTGCCTGAAAACAATCTGTATCTTACACAATAGATATCATATGATATAAATTTGAAAGATTATTCTAATAAACTGATATAAAGACCAAATAATTCTTCAAGGAGATAATAACAGATGATAAGAAAGTAAAAGGTTAAAATCTTAAATTAATTTATCTTAAATGACATTGAAAGACATTGAAAGTAAAATGAAACAAGAGGAAATAAAAGCAAAATACTGCAGATGTTTGAAATCTGAAATGAAAACAGACAATGCTGAAGAAATTCAACATTTGGAGAGAATGAACTCACTCTGGAGTTTCTCCAGCAATTTCTAATTTTATTGTAGAACTGTGAGATTCTAAGTTATTCTCAATCTGTGGAATACAAATATCTTAGTACTTCCATCTGTTTTAATAAATTGGTATTTAAAATAAGTTAATAATATTAAAACAGTAAAGTCAAGAATGCGACACAAGTATATTAACCAGTGCATTTTGGTCAACGAATTTAAATCAAGCAACGAATGAAACTTCAACCTTCATTCTTCCACCAATGTTTACTGTCTCCAAGCCAAAAAAAATCACTAAATATAAATTATCACCTTGTCATTGAATCTTTCCCTGATTTTTTAGATGACCACAATAGCAATTTATGGCCATTAGTACTCATGCTAGCCATGGGAATGTTGGTAGCGTGCTAGCCTGAGTCAGAAAATAGTACCATTCCAGGACGTGAACACAAAAATCAAGATTAATATTCCATTATAGCATGAAGGAAGTGCTGTACTTTTGGAGTTGTTGATTGCAGATAAGACATTAAACTGACCCTGCTTATCCTCTCGAATGGATGCCAAAGAATCCAGGTACCATTTAGAAGATCAGGGAAGTTATCACTAGAGTTCTTTCCGATATTTATCCCTCAATTAACAAAACATAAATAGATTATCTGCATATTAGTATTGCATTATTAACTGTGGAATCTTCCTGTGTGAAATTTGCTGACGGTAGATCCACTTCAAAGTACTTTCTTGGCTGTAAAACATTTTGGGACATCCCAAGGTTATGAAAATTGTTACATAAATGCAAATCTTTCTTTCTATATGCTACAAGTCATATTATTGTGAAACTATTCGTAACGTAGCCTTCTACAACTACTATTTTGATCTATATCATCATGATTTTCATAAGTATGTTGATGTACTCAGAATAAAGCAAATTTGTTATTGTGAATATTAATTTGATAAGTCAATGTCCTATGTCAGGAAATGATTCTTGCATATATTTTCACTGAGAACTTAATGACAATACCTCGTAAACTAGTGGTACAAAGTTGTGTGGAATGATCATGAATTGGAAGGCAGGAAGCTGGAATTTGTTTGTGAAAAAATGATAATGGGAGGAAGAGTGTGTAGAGTGTGTAGTCATTTTAAGAGGTGATGTGCTTGTCTAAGCTTGGAGATTTAAACTAAACTGTGTCTGTAAGCAGCTGAACAAGTACAGCCAGTTCTAAAATTAAAACGTATCAATTGGCTGTGTGATTGAAAACCTTAGGCTTGTTTAGATGTTTTGGCAACTAGCTGGAATCAACCAATTAATTTAAACCAAGCACTTAGTGATTGAAAACCAATTGAATTTAAATCTGATGGTTCTGACAACTTCGGACCAATGCTATTGTAAGAAAATCGATAAAGGTCATCCAAGGTATATAAGGAGAGGAATTTTGAAAATTAGTGGGAGAGCGAATCACCATCCAAGAAATAAGTGCCTAGCTCTTGCAAGAAATCGCTAAGTTCTCTAAGAAAGCACTATCTTATACATAAAAGGTACCATGGCACTTCTAGCTAAGAATCTTCACAGGCAAAACATCCCTGACAGCAGGATCAGCAGAAGAAGGGTGTTTATGACTTGAGAATAGCAGAAGAAAGGCATTTACGACTGGAGAAACAGTGGAGAAGGCAGAGCATTCCAGAAGATACATTCTGTGTGGACTTTGAGAGACTAAGTTTTAGTTTATTTCTCTCTTACTACTTGGGTTTATAAGTGGGACTTGTGTTTACTGTAATAGCATACAAGTAGAATTTTTTTCAGTTGGGGAACGGTTAGGAGTTGGGGGGATTTATTCGGTTTGTTAGTAGTTCGGTTAATTTGTTCACTGTTAGGGTTAAAAAGATAAATTGTTACTTATAAAGTGAATATCAGGGATTTTCTTTCATTTAACTTCCTTTCCTCCTGAAATTGAATTTAACAATTACTGCTAATTTTATAGTATTTATGATATTTCTAACCTCCAGATGTAACAGTTCAACCTTATCCCTCTCTGACATATCGCACTATTGGAGGAATCCTGGATTTTTATCTGGTTCTTGGTCCAAACCCAGAAAATGTTGTTGAACAATACACAGCAGTAAGTATCTGTGCCTTAATGGTCTGGTTTGAATTAATTTCAGTATTGCTATTAAACAAAGTATTAATATGTATATTTAAAAATGTATATATATACCTGGGTAATATAAATGTAGAAACGGTATCCTCGAGATCTTGATGAACCTCAATCTAATGATGATGGAGGATTAATTCACAAGGCAAGTTTTACATTTCCCATCTGCAAGAAATTTTGCAAAAGAACAAATTCCAATCAGCATTAATGCACCTCATCTTTCCTGCAGAAATAGGACTTAAAGAGCACAGCAGAATGCTGAAGAAGTAGTGGCCAAAAGAATACAGTCTTCCACATTTCTAAGCAGATAGAAAGTTCCAGTGTGGTCAACAAATGTATCAGATAAAATCTTTTAAAAAAGGGATATACAACTTTTTTGCATTTATGGGGAAAGCGGAGTTGTGGTGGCTGTTATTTTATTGAACATCAGAAAGTCAATTTATCTTTATGGGATCTAAATTGCATCATACCATCACTCTCATGGTCTCTGTCTTAGTTTCTGTATAGATTGCAAGCAGTCAAGTCAGCAGTCTGTGGGACAAAGGTTCAATGCGTTAGTCAGCCAGTGAACTATGTACATGATGCATATTATTGAGTATACATAGAACGTATAGAACATAGAACAGTACAGTACAGTACAGGCCCTTTGGCCCACTGATGTTGTGCTGACCTATTATTCTACTAAGATCAAACTACCCTGCATACCCTACATTTTACTATTCTCCATGTGCCTATCCAAGAGTTGTTTAAAAGTCTCTAAAGTAACCGACTCCACTACCTCTGCCAGCAGCGCATTCCACACCCCCACCACTGTCTTGTAAATCTGAGGTATCATACTAATGTATATTGTTAATTAGGCATGTCGCAGAGATGGACAGCTTAGAACAGACTCTTTGGACCAACTCGTCCATGCCGACCAGATATCCTAGATAAATCTAGTCCCATAATTGTTACTAAACTTCAAGTTATCTGTCATAGTAATAACTTTGTGGTGCATGATGTGCACTAACTTGTAGAAAAACACATCACCTCAGTCACCATAGAGTCATAGAGTAATACAGAGAGGAAATAGGCCCCTCGGCCCAAACTGGTCCAAACTGATGTTCTGAGCTGACCTCAGTGGAATTCACAGAAAAGTGTGTTGCCTTTCATTCTGACTTCCTATTCTACTAGTCTGCTTTGTGGAAGCAGGAGGAAAAGGTCATTGGTTGTTGTGCATGCCTGACAATGGTCTCCCTCACCCAACCATTCACCTACATCCATTCGCTTACTCACACCTATTCATTGACCTACCCACACAACCATTCATTCAAAACCACATGTATGCATTCACTCACACCCAACCACAAGCTATTGACTCAAACATACACATATTTCCCATTCACATATCACATTTTTTCATGTTCGCTCATACTCACCATTTACTCATGCACACAATTACTCACACAAGTCAGGGAGATTTAGTGATCAGTATTGCTAAGGAGCAGTGCTGACAGTGGTGCAACCACTATTCCTTGTGAGCTCCCTGTTCCTTCTTCCTGCTTGACCCCCACCCCCAACATTCCCCACTACAACACCACCACCTCCAATTCTCTTTCTCCCCAGCACCGAAGTCCGACACTCATTTCCAACCTTCCCAAGCTCATAGCCGCCTCAAACCCCATGCCACAGAGTCACTGCTGCAGCTTCAAGCTTATTAAAATCCTTTGATCACCAGCATATACATGTGAGAAATCATCTTTGATTGGAGGACCAGGTTCATGTAAAATGTACTAATTACATTCATCTAGATTTTGAACAATGGCTCCATGAGCACACACTGTAGCCCTTTGCATGTGCCACCTGTTGGACAAGCCTGATTTAAAAGATCACCCAAACATAATCCAGCCAATCCCAGTATTCTGCATTTGAACCTCCCCATTGTGGCACTATACCAACTTGTATGTCCTCCTAATTGTACCCTAACGATATCAATGTAAAAAAATTAATATGATTTTATTAATCTATGCATGGTGAGTGGATGAATTTCAATTTCGGTGCCATGAATGAATGCTTATTGTCTCATTTATTTAGTTATTCACATGGTGGTAGGTAGGTAGGTAGGTACTGTCAACACTGTCAGAGATCAAAACTCTGTGTGGTGAGGATGAACCAGAATAAATATTTCCATATCAAGTTTCAACCTACTCGTCACACTTAACTGTCCATCAGTAAAGCCCCAGTCAGGCCAGGCATTGTATATTAGAAAAAGCACCGACTCACCTCTGCATAAAAGCTATGAAACCATTAAGCATCCTACCGAATTGATATGACTTCAGCAGGAAATTATAATGATAAAAAGCCTAACAATTCATCAGTCCTTCTAAATTCTGCACTTTAAACTAAACAGGCATGTATAGTCACATGTTGAAACTAAGAACCAGATGTGAATTTTTTTCCCAGCTTGGAAAACAAATTTTAAAAATTCTTTTCTTGTACTTTTTAGCTTATTGGCCGCCCAGTCATGCCGCCCTATTGGTCACTGGGATTTCAGTTATGTCGATATGGATACAAGAATACCACTGAAATTGAGGATCTCTACACTGACATGAAGAATGCAAAAATTCCATATGTATGCTACTTATATACTTAAATGCAAATATTGTATCATTCTATCTAATAGTCTATCAAGAATATAAATTGTTTAATTAATGCAGTAAGAGTAACTGATGTAAAAAAAGGATTTTGAAGATAATATAAACCAATTTACGCCAATAGAAATTAGTTTCAGATGCATGCTGTTGCAAAATCAGCAGCAAATCTGTCAGAATCTTTGCATAGCCAATTGATGTAAATCTCCTAAAATAGGTGACTTACATATTGTTTCTCAGTGGTATGATTATAGCCATGTGCTAGGAACTCTAATAGTTATATACTTTATATCTCTTTTGTCCCCCATTAGATTAAAAATCATTCTGTTTTGCAGGAAGACTCTATACATAATGCAGAGTGTGCTTGCATAGTATTTCTGTGACATTGGGCTCAATATGACATAGAGAGTTGTGGCTTTCAATGAAAATCAGGTCTCCAAACTATGTATTACGCAAATTGTTTGAGACTGAAATCACATGACACCAGGTCATACTCCAACAGGTTTATTTGAAAACCCAAGCTTTCGGAGCGTAGCCCCTTCATCAAGTGAAAGGAGAAAGAAGCAGAATTTATACGTAAAAGATCAAAGGGTCACACAACTGATGAGGATGTATTAAACAAACCTAAGATGATTTAAATTGATTAATATGTGTGTATATAAGTCCCCAAATTTCTTTCAAGTCACTGTGCTGAGAGAACTAAATGGTTTATCAGTGTAAAGAAGAGGTGACATTTTAGATCAGACAATGCACGCTAGGTGTAATGCCTTGTTCAGAATCTGTTTGTGTTTTGGTTTGGAGCCAGACTGGTTTTATTTCTAAAGTAGGAACTTATGAAACGCCACATTAACTGACTATCTATAAATTGTGTGCTTTTTGAACAAAATAGAATATATCTGCAAATACAAATTCACCCCATAGATTCACGTGTATGTGTGTGTGTGCGCGCGCGCACGCGCGGGAGGGAGTGTGTGTGTGTGTGTAGTGTGTGAGTTTGAAAGGGAGACAGAGTGTGTGTGATTAAGAGAGGAATAGAGTGAGTGTGTGTGTGCGTGGGGGTGAGTGGGTAGGGAGAGAGAGAAAGAGTGTATGTTTGTGAGAGAGAGATTGTGTGTGTTTTTGTGTGTGTGTGTGTGTGTGTGTGTGTGTGTGTGTGTCTGTGAGGGAGACAGTGAGCGAGAGCGTATGTCTGTGTGAGGGAGAGAGAGAGAGAGTGTATGCATGCATGTTTATGCTTGAGAGACAGTGTGTGTATGAGAGATGATCTGTGTAAGGGAGTGTGTGTGAGTTTGTGTGAGGGAGTGTGTGTATATGTATGTATGTGTGAGAATACATATGTACAAATACAAACACTCTCTCATGCAAACAAACACACACACACACTCTATCTCTCCACCAACACGCCCATCCATACACAGACACACATGTAAGTCTATGGGGTGAATTTGTATTTGCAGATACGTTCTATTTTGATCAAAAAGCACACAATTTATAGACAGTCAGTCAATGTGGCATTTAATAAATTCCTACTTTAGAAATAAAACCAGTCTGACTTCAAACCAAAACATAAACAGATTCTAAAGAAGGCATCACATTGAACATGCATTGTCTGATCTAAAATGTCACCTCTTCTTTACACTCATAAAACCTTTGATTCTCTCAGGGCAGTGACTTGAAAGAAATTCGGGGATTTACATATGCATATTAATCAATTAAAACCTTCTAACTGGTTAAAGATTTAACAGCATCTTAGGTTTGTTTAATACATCCTCATCAGTTGTGTGACCCTTTGATCTTTTACTTATGAATTCTGTGTTCTGCGTGCTACTTTCTCACTTCACCTGATCAAAGGGCTACGCTCCGAAAGCTTGTTTTTTCAAATAAACCTGTTGGACTATAACCTGGTGGCATGTGATTTCTGACCTTGTCCACCGCAGTCCAACACTGGCACCTTCACATCTTTTTTGAGACTGATAGCTGAGATTATATACAGAAACCTAAATAATGCATATTCTAACTAGTCAGGATTTCTATGGATTAAAACTTTTTTAAGGACGTGCAATATGTTGACATTGATTACATGGAGCGGCAGTTGGACTTTACTCTTGATGCCGATGATTTCCAGAATTTGCCAGACTTTTTTGATAAAATAAGAAGTGAAGGGATGCGAACTATTATCATTTTGGTAAGTTTCTTGTTCATTTTTTCTAAGAAAGGACATGAATTAAATTAATAATGTAATTTGGAGCTATGGATTTGATATTTGTGATTGTGCATTTTTAAAAAAATTATGCAGGATCCAGCAATTTCAGGTAATGAAACTAAACCTTATGAAGCCTTTACCACTGGAATCCATAATGATGTCTTCGTTAAATGGGAGAAAAGCACTGATGTTATATGGGGGAAGGTAATCAGTTTTTTTTTTAATTTTTGAAATCCATTTGAAACTTAGCAACATTATGAAGTGGCTTTGGTTACCTTTGTAATTAAGACAATTTTCTTGCTTCCAGTTTCATACCATAAATTCAATGATTTGTATATCATAACAGCTGAAAAATACATAAAGCATTTGTAACCTTTGAACTTCGTGAATGCCAATTGCAGGTATGGCCAGATCTTCCAAATGTAACAGTTGATACGTCAAAACCCTGGGAATATCAAGTGGAGGTAAGCCTTATTTATCGAACAAATTGCGTATCTAATTATATTCCTCCAACATAATCACTCTTGAACCTTAAATATATTAATTTAATTCTTATCTGAAACCATATGATTTGCCATTAATGTTTGCACTGACAATGAAAACCTGAAAAGATTAAGCTGGAGTCATATTTAACTTCAACATGAACATAATTAATAATTAACAACCAAGAAAGCAGAGAAATATGATTGGCCTGAACAAGAAAATTAGGAAGAAAGCTACAAGAAGGTGCAGAAATCATTTTAAAATAGCATATATAAGGTATTATCCTGGTTTTGTTAAATTGGTGTTTCGTGTTGTTACAGCATTATCGATCTTATACTGCTTTCCCGGACTTCTTCCGCAATGAAACAATCAACTGGTGGCATACAGCAATAAAAGAGTATTATGAGAAAACCTTGAAGTTTGATGGACTATGGATTGTGAGTTTTTGCTGTCCATTTTCTGTCTCATTAAAGAGCAATTCCAAATCTCAAACAGCAAAAGCATTTTTTCTTATTTTCTTTTTAGGACATGAATGAACCTGCCAGCTTTGTTCATGGATCTGTTCATACGTGTCATGATAACAAACTGAACTATCCACCTTATATGCCAGGTTAGGACATTTCCAATTAATGGATTCATCAAACGTGTCTTTCAAAGAAAATGCAAAAGAATCAGTTGAGTTTGGGGATTGATAGTCTATGTTACCTTGTCATTTAGACTGGAAACAGCTGGTCTGTGTTTAATGCAAATCTCTGTATACTGAATTGCTCTGTCAAATTTCAACTTTGCTGAATATTTTGTTCTAAAATATGTCATTATAGTGAATCATAGATTGTTAGGTAAAAAAGAATTTGTTTTATCAACAGTACAATTTCAGTTTAACTTCTGGGTAGTTCAATAGTTGATCGAATCAATGTTAACAAAGCAGTAGTATCTTCAAAATGGGGTCAATACATATTAAAAGTAGCTACTTCTTAAATACGCAAATAGGAGATCTGGGTGCTTAAACATATAAGTGCCTCCACTTTTTGTTTTGTCAGTTGGCGTTTGAATTTATGAATGTAACAAATCTGGTAGGAACCCTTTTCTCAGTTCATCTGGTAACCAAACCTTATTTTGCCCAACTTGAAAGTATAGGACAGTATTTTCCCTGGAGGTGAGGGAAAGTTAACAAGTAAGGGAGATAGTTATTGAATTAGTACTGGCAAGGTACAATTTATTTCATTGATTATGTTCTTGACAAGATTGCTGAGAAACTTTTCTGACATGTCTTCAATTATGGCACTTAAATACAAAATTAACAACTAAGTAAGAATTTCAAGTCACCACCAACGTATTACTTGCATTCCCAGTGGATGAGAAATGTTTCCTGACTATGTACTCAGGGCAGCCTGCCATCTGTTTTGGGGAATGCCTCCATTTAGTACAACCGAAGGACAACTAGAGGCGTGGTGGTGGGGGGGGGGGGGTGATGTGGGGTGCAGAGGTGTTGGGAGTGGCACCTAAAAGTCACCTCTGTGCCTTTACTCTCCCAGCGACCCCCATCCTGCAACCAGAAGCAAATAAACTTTTTGACAGTTGTATCCCTTATGGAGTGGAACTAGGAGCTAAAGGCTGCAGCCAACATATGAGCTGATAGCCTCTGATGGCCCAAAACATCATGTCGAAGCCTTATACAGGTTAAGAAATTCATTGAAGCTTGAAACTTATTGGCATGCAATTGGTTGAGTTTTCCAAGTTATGTGTTTGTCAAAACGTAACACAACCATCCCACATTTAGTCCCTAAAAGGCAAAGCCACAGCCATATTTTAATGAAAGGTTTTATTCCTTGCCCTGCATAGAGATAGCAACAAGCCATTATAAACCAAAGCTTTGATACAGATCTTACTCAACCTAGAAGTTTTGAGCTGAACAAACTCAAAAAATTGCAACAATTTCCTCCAAGTTCTGTTGCTGCCTCCTTTAAAAATAATATTTCTACAAGAAGAGCTGATAATATATTGAGATATAGTCATCTACAGGTTCGCTGATGACATCACTGTAGTGGAACAGATATCTAACAACGACGACTACTTAGATAGGTTTAGATAGAGGATCTGGATTGGCGCAGTCTTGGAGGGCCGAAAGGCCTGTTCCTGTGCTGTAATTTTCTTTGTTCTTTGTTCTTGACTCAAAATACAGAAGGGAGATAGAGGGCTTGATGACATGGTACAATGAAAACAATCTGTCTCTCAACATGGGCAAAACTAAAGAACTGATAATTGACTTCAGAAAGAAAGGAGGAGAACACGCCCCTATCTACATCAATGGAACTGAGGTTGAGAGCGTAAAGAGCATCAAATTCCTAGGAGTGACGACAACTGACAACCTGTCCTGGATTTCCCACGTAAATGCGACAGTTGAGAAGGCACAACAACGCCTCTCCTTCCTCAGGCGGCTCAGGAAATTTGACATGTCCTTATGGTCCCTCACCAACTTCTACAGATGCACCATTGAAAGCATACTGTCCGGGCAACTGCTGTTCCCATGACCATAAGAAACTACAGAAGGTAGTGTACACAGCCCAGACCATGACAGAAGCCAACTTTCCAACTATGGACTATATTTACACAGCTTGCTGTTGTGGAAAGGTGACCAACATCATGAAAGGCACATCTCACCCTGGTAATGACCGCCTACAACGTCTTCCATCAGGCAGAAGATACAGAAGCCTGAACACACGCAGGAGCAGGTTCAGGAACAGCTTCTTTCCGGCCGTTATCAGACTGTTGAATGGGCTCTAGCCTCAAATAACATAACCTGTATGCCTCTAAGTCTTTTTGATCTGTACATCCCTTGCTTGTACCACTCATAAACAAAGCTTTTCACTATATTCCGGACACGTGACAATAAATCAATCAATCAGTTTACAGCTTTGTGGTTGAGCACTGAACTTAATGTAAAGGGAATATTGAGAATCTGGTGCAGAGATAAGATTCTGATTTTTACACACAGCACTTTTCTATATAAGAAAGAAGGATTAGTGTTTTTCATCATTTTGTTTTTGCTTTCAAATTTTAAAAGCTTGTGAACTTAGAAGTTACAGATAATATGTTTTAGTGGCTGAAACTTATTCAACAAGAATTCCAAGCAAAGAAGCATGTGGTTAATCATTTTACCTATTTCATTCAGTTACTGCCTTTTTCAGCATATGTTACATTCTCATTTTTAAGCTCTTGAATCAAAGCATTCCGGACTGAGTCACAAAACCCTCTGCATGGAAAGTGAACACTTTCTACCTGATGGAACTTCAGTGAGACACTATGATGTGCATAACCTGTATGGATGGTCACAAACAAAGCCAACACTTGAGTAAGTTGTAGTCAATTACTTTTAAATAACTTGTGGTTTCAAAATTATATTTGATGTAAAACTAATGGTTGTAATTGTAGATGGGCTGATTTTGAAGTATGAAAATAGAATCAAAAACAGATGTTACAGCATCTGAGTTAAGTACAGAAAATCAATGCAAATGGTATGATTGCAAAATCAGTGAAATTATATGCACAGAATAACACTTGTTGGAACAATTTTTAAAGGCCTCAAATTTTTGAGACTGTACTTTAATAGCAGCACCAGTTGTATTGTGGAATCCCTATTATATGGAGTTCTACAATATTTTAGTAAGTTATAGCACATAAACAAAGAAAAGCTTGAAGAAATTCTGGCCAGTTGTTCATATACTGCAATCAACCTACTCTTTAAAATTGAAGGAAAATGGTTTCAGTGAACAGCAGACAAAAAAACGAAATCGGTGGGGTTTTATGAAATAGATAGTGTGTGATCTTGTAGCAGGACAGGCAGCTCTATGTATTATTTTGATGAAGTAATGTAATGTTGTCCTCAGAGCACTCACTTTAGATGTAGTTCTTTATGGTGAGAAACATTGCTGTAAAAATGTATAATTTGAGAATTTGGAAAGGTGGAATTTTATAGTCATCAAAGTGAAGATTGCTAGGGCAGAATTAAATACTTTTCTACTTCTTGACCTCCAAATGAGTGGCAGCCTCAACCTCAGCTTATTTTACGTATCGATCAACCCAATGATATCCGAAACAGATTGGCAACTTCTTCAAAATTAAAGGTAGCTTGGGGTTCTCAGATTTATAGTGCAACCTTCCTAATCACAAGATCTTTACAGACGGAGAGAGCCACATGTCCTGTTCAATTAGGAAATGGACTTGGAGAAGTTGATGAAATTAAAAATCAACAAAATTGCCAGAGCCGGAGAGTCTACATTCCGAAGTACTTAAGGAAGTGACATTGGAAATAATGGATGAATTGATGGTCATCTTTCAAGATTCTAGAGACTTTGGAACAGTTCCTATGGATTGGAGGATAGCTAATGAAACCCCTCTATTTATAAAAGAAGGTAGAGAGAAAACACAGTCATGTTAGCCTGACAAATCAGACGCCATTTCCGCCACCTCCAGTAAGATGCCACCACCAGACACATATTCCTCTCCCCTACCTTGTCCGCCTTCCGCAGGGACCGTTCCCTCCTGGACACCCTGGTCCACACTTCCTTCATCCCCAACACCTCCCCACAGCCCTGTGGCACCTTCCCCTGTAACTGGCGAAGGTGCAGCACCTGCCCATTTACCTCCTCCCTCTTCAGTATCCAAGGGCCCAAACATACCTTCCAGGTGAAGCAACACTTCACCTGCACTTCCCAGAATCTAGTCTACTGCATTCGCTGCTCACAATGTGGTCTCCTCTACATTGGGGAAACGAAGCGTAGTCTTGGCAACCGCTTCACAGAACATCTAAGTTCTGCCCACAAAAAAGACCCTGAACTACCTGTTGCCTACCACTTCAATGCACCACCCTGCTCCATGGCCAACATCTCTGTGTCTGGCTTACTGCAGTGTTCCAGTGAAGCCCAATGCAAGCTGGAGGAACAACACCCCATTTTCTGCTTGGGGACCCTATAGCCCTCCGGACTCAATATTGAGTTCAATAATTTTAGGGCCTAAACTCTCCCATGTCCCAGTCCCCCACCCCACACACCAGCCCTTGTTACCACATAGCCTGCCACTACACACCCCCTGTTGTTAGTCACTAACAGTCCCCATTAACAACTATTCACCCTCCCAGCCTGATTGTTAGCAACTCCTTTGTCTGTCTAACTGTCTTTCTCTCTCTTTGGGCTCTATCCTATCGTTTACTCCCTACCCCACCCACCTCCCAATTTTCTGCATATAAACTGACGTTTTCCCAACCACCATCAGTTCTGAGGAAGGTTCACCGGACCCAAAATATTAACTCTGTTTTTTCCTTCACGGATGCTGCCAGACCTGCTGAGCTTTTCCAGCAACTTTGTTTTTGTTCCTAGTTTGCCTGACATCAGCAGTGGGGATAATACTAAATTATACTAGCAATGAATTAATAACAGAACACTTGTAAAATAGTTTCAGGATCAGACACAGTCAGCATGGAATTACAAAAGGGAAATCAAGCTCGACAAATACACTGAAATTTTTCGAGGATGTAACTTGTACAGTTGAACAGGACAGCCAATCATTGTGGTTTACTTAGATTTTCAGAATGCCTTCACTAAGGTCCCACATAAGAGAATAACATGTAAAATTAAAGCACGTGGGTTTATGGGTGGTGTACTGACATGGATGCAAATTGAATACTACACCAGAAAATAAAGAGTAGGTCAACATCCTTTCTCCCCCAGCACTCCATCTCCCCCACTACAGCATAAATGCTGTCCCCTCTACACTTTACATTGGCTCTGATGAAGAGTTATCTAGACTTGGAAACGTTAGCTTGCTTTCTCTCCATGGATGCTGCCTGACCCATTGTGATCTCTATCACTTTTTGTTTTCAGTTCAGGAATAAACAACATATTTTTCTGATAGGCACGCAGTGACGAGTGGGATACTGCAGGGAGTAGTACTTGGACAAGCAATTTGCATTTTCCTGTTATGGTGGTGCTGTGGTTTTAAGGGGTTTTTTTTCCCTTTTTATTTGAAGGGAGGTTTTAAGGCAGAGGAGATGACCTTGCCAGTGAAGACCCAGAAAGTAAACAGCTTGGGAAGCCTTGGTTTTTTTTAAAGTTTGAACAATGGAAGCAGCATGGATTGGTGTGGCCAGCTCTCATAGACCAGGATTTCTAGTTTTTTTTCAGTTTTTAGGTATAGCCTTAAGCAGTTGCTTTTAGAGTCTCAATAGGGCAGAAGCTGTTTTGAAGAAGTAGAAGCTATCTTTTCCCTCTCTCAGTTACAGCTAGAAACTGGGGTTTCTCTCTGCTGCTGGGTTACCTGTGAGACAAATCTATTTTTTTTGAATTTGCCTTTTTGCCAAGGGATGTATTTATGGTATGCTGCTATATTAGAACAGTTATATCTATTTTTTGGATAAGTTTTCTCATAAAGTTATTCCAAGTCCTTCTTTCATTTATTGCATTTTAACTATCGTGTTTACATAAATTGTGTTTTACTTAACATCGAATAGTTTATGTCTGGAGCAAGGCACATAACATTTGCCTATAAAATAAGAAAAATTAAGGTCTAGGCTACCTTCTTAAAATATTTTGAGGGGGTCAGATCTGGTCCATAACATTGTGTACAACATTAGAAATTGACACTGATCATGCAAAAGAAACTCCATATTTAGTAGTCACTTTTAGCAAAAAGAAACTTTTAAGTCAATTTCTGCATATAAAATGAATACTTGCTCTGTAAACATCATATGCTGTAGTAATCCCTTACTTCCCATAATGTCAATGTTATCTTAATTTTGCATCTTGCAGCTCCTCAAGTTATTCTGCAGGAGAATTCCTATGTTACACCAATTCTACTTCTCTGTTTCCGTCATGTACTGAATGCGTAAATAAAGATAAGAATAAATGTATAGTTGGTAAAATAATTCCAATCTCTAACCTCACTCCAATTGAACACAGACCTTGTGCCCATCCAATACTCTGAGAGACCAATATATAATCTTAATAAATTTGCAGTCAGGTTTAGTTTGGGATTTCGGGTGACGTGGTTTGGTTGGACCAAAAGGTCTGTTTCCATGCTGTATGACTCTATGACTCTGTAAAACAAATGTCAGATACAGAGCACAGAACACAGAAATGTAGTTGTTCATACGACATTCTGAGCAAAGTAGAAAGTTTTAAATCTAATTTTTAAAAAACTATTGTTCTCAATTGATTCACTGTGTTTTTGGTGTCAACCTTACTATTGTCATTGCAAATAATTATTTGTTTTTATAGCTCATTACAGAATATAACTGGAGAGCGAGGGATTGTGGTGACACGTTCAACTTTCCCATCTAGTGGTCAATGGGCGGGTCATTGGCTTGGAGACAACACAGCTGCCTGGAACCAGTTGCATAAATCAATCATTGGTATAAACTATAAAATTCCTAAATCTTTAATACAATTATATTTAATGCTTTCCTGTCATTTTATCCCCTTTGTTCCCATTTCTATCTCCTTCAATGCAGCTTGAACTCACACAAATATACTCCTACACATGAAATCATAGCATGTACAACTCCAGCAGTGGAATGACTTTCACCTTTGAAATAACTCCACAGATGCTGGTTTCCTGTCACCAATTCACCCTTTATTTACACGTGGAAAATCCTTGACACTAATCAAACTTCCTCAGAGCCAGGTCTCAGAGTGAACAGAATCTCTGACACTCTTGTTTCTATCTGTCAGCCAGGGGTCCCTGATTGGACCACATTAACAGCCCCAGTCAGGGAACTCATATTATATTAGGGACACCTGGCTGACCTTGTTACAATCACTACACCCTTAACTTTCACAATTGCCTTTAGAGTCTCCCAGCGATCCAATCCTGGCCTTTCCACTTCTTCATGTACACATTGCAATTTGGTAACAACGCTGGCAGTATTTATCACCTTCCTTCTTCTTAGACAATCCTCAGGATTATAGATAACTTGGTTGCATTCTTATGGTTCTGAGATGGCTGGTAAGTCTAATGTGCAAAAGCAGATTATTCCACATGCAATGTAGATGGTGCTTAAAGAATTGGGTAGATGAGTTGTTTGGAGGTTGGAATGCTCTCTCTGATATCTCCTGTCAGATTGCTTGTCTAAGCTACAAAATTGATATCTTATTTTTGATTCCATCCATCTCGCAATCAAACACAAAACACTGCTGCAACACACACATACACGTTGTGCACACAGTTTATGCCCAATGCCAGCTACTTATCTCTGGAAGGCATATCACCTAAACACATTGTAAAACTCTCGTTGAACTATTTCCCTGTCACAGGATCAGGCAGCCCTTAATTGTTGTTGACACCACCAAACTGGTGGGGATGGGAGCACAGACATGGATGCATTTGCTCAATCTCATAAAAGAGACCTTGCTGGAAATCCTGCGTGCAACTGAGGAAGTGGTACTGGTGGGTAAAAAACATAAAACGTGACAGTATATTCCTGCCACAACCACATTCCCATATTTCATTTAGTCCATTTCACAAACACAAATCAAGCCTGTAGAAAGTGAGAAGTGACACCCCACAATTTGATGATTCAATCCTACATGAGTACAAGGCCCATGTGATTCATACTGCCATAAAGCTGTGCTTTGAGAGTAGAAGAGTTTATTAGAAGCTATTGTAGGATCAGAAACTGGGATTTTCTTAACGTATCACTGAACATCATTGATAGTTTCAATGTGAAAGAGAAAGAGAAATATAGGCAACTGGTCAATTATTTGCTACTCAGATTGTGAGTGACAGTTCAAGCTCAAATTGAAGAGACCACATTCATGAGGATTAAAATAAGGCTGAAAGGTTTGTCTCAGTTTAGCTAAAGAGAGGGATTTCCAGAATAATCTTTACCATGAAAGTCAGATTAGATGTTAACTGGCTCAAAATGAACAAAATAAAAGCAACAAGCCATTTTTGAGAATAGCTTTTGGACTGATTCTGAAGTGTAAAGTGTCCATTCAAGTGACAGAGTAAAGTATAATTGTAGAGACAGATGTTTATTTGTTTTAAAAGTTATTGAGGGAAACATTTCAATAAATTATAAATTGTCTATTTAAATATAAATTTTAAATATATAAATTGTCCAATGTTTAGTCAAGTTGCTTTTAGTTTATTACAGTCAAAGTCTTAAGGCTTGAAAAGGTGTCATGTGACCTTTTCTAGAAGTTTAGATATCTATTTAAAAGTTAAAGTTATTTGCCTCCGTGGGAGGAATATAATAATACATGACACAAGAGTTTTCTTTTTTGTGTCCTAGGAATGATGGAGTTCAGTCTGTTTGGAATTTCTTATGTAAGTCCATTTATAATGTTGTTTACAGAATGTGTGGGAATCTCTTTTTCATTTTATTAAACTGAAATTCAGCATTTCTCATGGAATAATATGTATTCCATTAAATCTCAGACTGGAGCAGACATCTGTGGCTTTTTCAATAATGCTACTTATGAAATGTGTCTTCGATGGATGCAGCTTGGAGCATTCTACCCATATTCTAGGAACCACAATGGATTGGGGTTCACTGTAAGTCAGTTTTGAGTTAGTATGAGAAAATCATTTCTAAGTGCAAAGTAGAAAATAAAGATTTATATATTTATTTCATTATATCTGTATGGTAAAGATACTTTTGGTGTTTAAATTTAATCCTGGAGTCCTGTTACATATTTTCTTATCCATGGTTCTTTCACATATTTCCAAGGATTAGCGATCACATGGCTTTCCCAGCATGGTGGCTTGTAAAGGAGATCTGTGGTATTTGTGAACAAGGCTAGAACCATTGAGGATCTTCAACTAGTCAGATTGAAGTACCCTCTCTGAGTCTGCAGAGTCTAAAGAATGAAGTGTAAAACAGGATGTATAAACTACATTTAAATGCAGGACAGAAGGCAAAGTGGAAGGTTCAGGAAGTTAAACAATAATATATTGATAAAACTCTCTACACCAATATTCTTCTGAAAGAATTAGATTCCAAATGTTTAAAATTAATTACATATTAATCTGTTGTCAAATTTCATTTATTATGTTGGTAAGTGCTGATAGCTTCATGATTATGATTAGTATATAACATGAATTTTAACCTTCAAAGTTTTCTGAGGTCAATATAAGTGTGTATAATCACATCTTGTGTAAAATGCCCTCCTCAATCATTAATGTACAAATGTTTTGATGCTAAAAGTAAGTATTGTAGATGCTGGAGAACTGAAAAAAAAATGCTAGAGAAACTCAGCAGTTCTGGCGACATCTGTAAGTTACTCCTGAGACCTGATGAGTTTCTTCAGTGCTTTGTTTGTTTATTTCAGATGCTGTGATGAGTTGTTGATGGCACAATACTCTTGTTTAAAATTAAGCAATAACATATCTTGCTGATTGTGTTTTTATTTTAAGTGCGCAAATTAGCAATGAAATAGAATCACGAACAAATAATTTATATTTGTTTTACATTAAAACCTAAAGATTTTACATTAGTTACAGCCAGATTTTCATTCATAAGAATTTGTGACTAAATTGAAAAGATTTCACTCAAACCAGAATGGCATCAATATTCTTGTAAAGAGAATGAATGAAATAGTGGGGGAGAATTCAATTTCTAAGGTATGGATAATGAATAGCAAGGTAGACCGAATGCTCAGACCTTAAAGATGCAGTTATAAGTAAGAAATCTTAAAGGATAATAAAACCAACAGTAGAAGTAACACAAACCAACTAAGAAAAGACAGGCCAGGACATAAGGTTAATGTGAGTGATCTTAGAGAGCAAAAGAAGGGCAAATAGGAAATATAACAATGCGAAAAACCAAGAAGTGTACTGCTGGTGTTATAGATAATATAGCAAATAGAAAAGGTAATATATATTGTTGCAAAGTGAAAGGTGATAAAAGTACCTTGACTAACCTTGGCCAGTTCACAGTAACCCTTTTTAAATCAGGCACATTTCATGGCATTATAGAGAAAGAGGACAAGAGTCCAGACAACTTTATTGAACACTTTATCAAGGAAAAACCATACTTATCAGACTGTATCATTACCTTAATTAAACTTTGTCAAAGGCTATCAATCTCTTCACAGGACTCTACAGTAAACAGTCTTAAATCTCTAAGGAAATAGTCTCAAATCTTCACTCGAGATAACAAGATGTAGAGTTGGATGAACACAGCAGGCCAAGCAGAGTAGCTATTTACTTATGATCTACACTTTTGAGGATTTGCTGCACAATACTCCCAGGTCCCTACATTTCCTTTATTTTTTCTCATTGCTCTATTTACTATTTGCCCCTCTTTAAGATCACTCACATTAACCTTATGTCCTGGTCTGTTTATTCTTAGTTGGTTTGTGTTACTTCGACTGTTGGTTTTTTTATTCTTTAAGATTACTGTTTGTTTGAAAGGACTGGGAATACCCAAACAATAAGGCTGTTCATCAGGCCTTGAGAGTTGGCTGATGTTGCAGGAACTGCAGCCATTGATTTGGGCTTCCCCTTTCATCTAGGGCTGATTCTAGCCTTGGGGTCATCTCACCGGGACAGTCTCTCTGATGATGCCATTGAAGAAGGTGCAAAAAAACAGAAAGCTGCTGGGACTCCAGGTTGCCCCTTTTAGTCCCCTCTTCACACCCTTCTTGAAGATTCTGTGGCCTGTGTCCAATACTAGCAGTTGCGGGAAGGGGGGCGCGGTGAGGGCAGGGATATCCAATGATATAACTACTTCCCATATGTGGAGGTTACAGAACATGGTTTTAAACCTCGAATTGTCAAGTGCTGTCCTTGTCATTCTCTGCCTCTGGCCTCCTACTGGGCTGGGTGCCACCAAGTCTGTGTAACATTCTTCTAACAAAGCAGTTTCACTGGAGGAGGTGTAAATAACAATTTATTCTGAAACAATTGCCGGTTGGCAGCCGGCCAGGCAGTTCCAAGCCTGTCAGGATTCGATAGGAAATTGATTGTCCCAGGCCTGGTTGAATGAATGCTGTCTGTTCCAGCTCCATAGTTTGTCTGTTTAGATTGTTTGATTACATCACCATTGTTGGACACCAGAAATCATCTATATCTGACCTCAACTAAATTAACAATGTCAAAGGGAAAATGCATGTCACTGTGATTGTTTTATAAGCAGCTGCTTTCAAGGTCAGCCTCCTGAACCTTCACTTCACCACTGACCACTAAGTACATGGAAATAGTCTTATGTATTAAATAAATAATCAAAATTAGGATATTATAAATGAAGACAAGCAAATAAATTGGATAATTGTAACATTTATCACCAGCCAAGAAGTAGATAATAACAAATAACCAGCTCATTTGGACTTGCCTTAATACTCTTTTCCTTCAAAATGAAATTAGGAGATGTAAATAGGGCAGCTGATCCACTATCACATTTTTTCACCAAATGATGAAAGTTAAAATTATCCAGTGATCAGTCAGTTGACAGAAGAAATAAAATGAGAATTACAATATTGGGAATTTTCTGGTCAAAGTATTATTCAATCAGGATGTCAAGATTGAAGTCAGAAGACTGTTTAGAGTGTAGTAGTGTGGAGAAATAAAATAACCTTTTGAGGCTTTTTGTCCATTAAGGTTGCATTACAAACTACCGTTTTAAATTTTTAATTTTCTACATAAAGTGAATGGTTCCTTCAGAAGTTAATACTGAAAATTAACATTGCGCTTTAAAATCTCCTTGCAGCAAATCGGAAAGTGAATTGTAAGAACTGATTGACAAATGTAAAATACGTTTGTCAATCATTGTTAACATCAGATGCAAAACTGAGTTTTTTAGGACTTTTAGACCATGATTTATTTCCTATTAATTTGAACAATCTGTGTGACAAGATGAAGGAGTGTAATTTAAGTGTTAGGAAGAAAGACTTGTTAAAATGAATCTTTTTTTAATGTGGAAGAGTTATGGATTATAGGCATTAATTAAAATGTTATCAAAGGAAAGTGTACATTGTTTAGGAACAATGATCAGTTAATTTTGAATATGTTGCACCCAAACGTTTGATGGGGTGGAATGTGACAATTGATGAAATATATGGGCAAATGGAATGTGATATTTGTTTGAGTATGTAAACTGGTGCAGAGATGTCAAGGTGTAGAGCTGGATGAACACAGCAGGCCAAGCAGCATCAGAGGAGCAGGAAGGCTGACGTTTCGGGCCTAGACCCTTCTTCAGAAATGGGGGAGGGGAAGGGGGATATGAAATAAATAGGGAGAGAGGGGGAGGCGGATAGAAGATGGATAGAGGAGAGGATAGGTGGAGAGGAGACAGACCGGTCGAAGAGGCGGGGATGGAGCCAGTAAAGGTGAGTGTAGGTGCGGAGGTAGGGAGGAGATAGGTCAGTCCAGGGAGGACGGACAGGTCAAGGGGGCGGGATGAGGTTAGTAGGTAGGAGATGGGGGTGGGGCTTGAGGTGGGAGGAGGGGATAGATGGGAGGAAGGATAGGTTAGGGAGGCGGGGACGAGCTGGGCTGGTTTTGGGATGCGGGTCAGGGGAGGGGAGATTTTGAAGCTTGTGAAGTCCACATTGATACCATTGGGCTGCAGGGTTCCCAAGCGGAATATGAGTTGCTGTTACTGCAACCTTCGGGTAACATCGTTGTGGCACTGCAGGAGGCCCAGGATGGACATGTCGTCTGCGGAATGGGAGGGGGAGTTGAAATGGTTCGCGACTGAGAGGTGCAGTTATTTAGTGCGAACCGAGCGTTGGTGTTCTGCAAAGCGGTCCCCAAGGCTCCGCTTGGTTTCCCCGATGTAGAGGAGGCCACAACGGGAACAGCGGATGCAGTATACCACATTAGCAGATGTGCAGGTGAACATCTGCTTGATGTGGAAAGTCTTCTTGGGGCCTGGGATGGGGGTGAGCGGGGAGGTGTAGGGGCAGGTATAGCACTTCCTGCGGTTGCAGGGAAAACTGCCGGGTGAGGTGGGGCTGGAGGGGAGTGTGGAGCGGACAAGGGAGTCCCAGAGAGAATGGTCCCTCCGGAAAGCAGATAAGGGTGGGGAGGGAAAAATGTCTTTGGTGGTGGGTTCGGATTGCAGATGGCGGAAGCGTTGGAGGATGATGCGTTGGATCCGGAGGTTGGTGGGGTCGTACGCGAGGACGACGGGGATTCTGTTTGGGTTGTTATTGCAGGGAGGGTGTGTGAGGGATGAGTTGCAGGAAATG